ACAGCTGATTAAAATATTGCTCGCACTGAACACAACGTTATACTTATATTAATAACAACAAAAACGATCAAAATGCCATCTAATTCCCATAATGATAATCTTTGATTCCCATAATGATAATCTTTGCACGTGCACGTGCGTGAAATAACCCACGTTACCATGGTTAGACTTAGTGTTACTAATACTAGGTATGCAACTTCTATTTGTTTACGAGCGTGCTAAATCACTCTACAGTCGATCTTCGAGATTGTTTTAAATTTGAATATTTTATGTAATAAGCGCCGTGAGTTGGCACAGAACTTTTTGTCTCTGACTGATTTTGATGAATTTGGTACCAAAAGTTGCCTTTAACTTGACATACGTTGCATGCCACTTTTCGCGCCCGATATTTGGATACGAAATGCAAAATGTCTCAATGATCCACCTCTAACTCTAAGTGTGAATGATGCAGATTCACTTTGTAGTTGTAGCACGATAGCGTCGAGCTGTATATGGGCCTCCTGTGCATTGCAAGAGTGTAAAAAGGACGAAAAAAAGGTAATTTCTTGCTTCAAATGCATATAGGCATAGCTCCTAAAATATCGAATATTTTGAAATAATTTTTACAGGATCGTAATACTATTACTAATAGTAATAAGCTTATAGTTATACATTATATTTACTGGGTCGCGCTCAGCCTGTCATTCCGCCGAATCTCTATACTATTCTATGTTTATGAACATAATATTAATAGCCTGAGGTCCCCAGGTAAGTTTATAATTATTAGTCAGACGCAACTTTTAGTACCAAAATTATTATATTTGAAGGAAATTTGAAGGTAAGAGGCTCTTATCTGATCATTACCCTAACCCAATCCTTAACAAAAGCATATGCTGAAATCTTAACGGTAACCCTTACGAGAAATTAGACTATGGACTAACCTTTTTATAAATATACGGGCATATCACGTGATCGAAACAGTTTCTCGCCAATATCTCGTCAGGAAAGCCATGGGGGGTTATTCAGAATCAGTGTCCAGAATCGATGTATTTTCGGCCGCGTGCAACCGAAGATACATCGATTCAAGTTGGTTTCAACTGTCGCAGGCCCTTTTAGAACAATCTCGAAGATCGACTGTAGTGATTTAGCAAGCTCGTTAAAAGTAAGACAAGTGCGTCAAATTCAGATTGGAAAGGTTCCGAAAAAGGCAAAAGGGCACGATTATTAATATTATAATGCAACGAAGAGGCAGCCAGTAGTTTTTTAATTATATAAATTTTGAATGTGTACATTTTAATATTTTTTTAAATCTACAAAAAAGGATCCATTTCTGATTTCATTATTTTCACTTTTTGTACTTGTAAGATATTTTCTACTCTATATCATCATGTATTTACTCTATCTATATCTCAGATAGTATCTGGAAGTGGAGAAACTAAGAAAAAATGCGGTGAAACATTAGATTTTAAATTGAATAAGCTCGTGTACGAGTTTAAGTGTGAGTATGTTATCGCAGATGACAGATCAGATCAAAATAGAAAAGGATGGGATCTTAACTCTATGCGATGTTGAAATCTACGTGGAAAATGTAAGTGAAAATTTGTATCACGCATGATTATATTTATATGAATCAGAATGGTCAAGCCTCACTTTATAACCTCACCAAGGAAGTAGCCAGGATTTTTGGCAGATAGTGCGATTTGTTGCGCGAGTGAAGCACAAGGATGATGATTAATCACTCTACACTCGACTGTCACGTGAATTTTAAACACGTCCTCTAGGTGGCTCCGAATGACTATTCGAAACCCCAACCCTAACTCTAACCCAATCCTTAACTGAAGCACATGCTCAACCCCTAACCTTAACGATAAATTAGACCAACTTCCTTAATCCTTATATGGTCAAATCACGTGATCGAAAATGCATCGAATCAAGTTTTAGAAAATCTTTAAACTCGACTGTAGAGTGATTTATCACGCTCGGAATGCGGAAGCACGAAGCGTTGCCGATCGAGCTATGACAGGGTTCCGGTGGCCACAAAATTTGCAGGATGATTTTGGGGTTTAATTAGAAAATAGAATCACCATCACTAGTCACAGTCATAACTATAACATATAAGTGTAAGAAGCTAGGCAGTCAGCTCTAGCCAAAGTGCCAGCACTGTGATATGGCCATTGCAAACATTTTGCACCTGTTAGTGTTCGGAAGTCTCTGTAACCTTTTTAGGTCAAAATATAACCCACCTATATTTTTCCTAAATTTTCGAAGCCCTAAATTTTCGAAGCCCCAAACTTAAAATTGATTTCCAAGAGCTCAGGAGAATTGGATTATGAACTAAAATATACTGATTGCCCTTAATAACTGATAAACGAGTCGAACTATTTTGATGTTTGGGTGCTGATCATATATTAATTCTTAAAAGTAACGTTCTCCTTTTTCAGCTGGTATTATTTATAATTCCAACTCCGCCCACCCTCTGACTGAGCCCTTGGAGGGTGCTGTGTTCTACGAGAAGGGACTCTGCGAGCAGTTCACCCCACCCATTGGGGACTACTGCAAGATGGAGAATGTGAAATTGACAAGCAGCATAGCAAAAGCTTTCACACTACTGGAAGCTCAACAGATGTGCAGCTACCAAGAACTATGCATGGGCGTGTCCGGCGGTATCTACAGTGGCGGTAGCTTCCCTGGCGGTGGTTACAGACTCCACAAGAACAAGGAATTCCAGGAAGACAATACAGAAACCACTTGGTTTTAAGGTGACTGTCCAGTGTGAAGACGGCCTATATCCTGCACACCTCGATATTATAGTCCCTATTTCTAGTTAGTAAGTAAGTAAGTAAGTAAGTAAGTTAGTTAGTTAGTTAATGTGGAGACGGCCTATACCCCGATACTAGAGTCCCTACGTCCCCCTCTGGCCATCGAAGTGGAAGTGGAACTTCCCACCCATGAATCCCTAACACCAATTATTAGAAGCCTTAGCTCTAGAACACCGACTAACCGATACACTGCCCCAGTCAGTGCCAAGACCATTGTACTTCCCTTCCAATTCCATCACCAACCCTGTTAAAGTTACGGAGGGCCTATCTACGTATCTAAAATACCAGGGAACTTTGTGGAATTAGTTAATTGACTCCACAGAGTGAACACCCGACCAATTTACCTAGACTCTAGAGCCGTCCCGGTAATTAAGGATTCCTAACGATATTCCTAGCGAGAATTATTGGCCAGTTCTCGGTTTTGCACAATCGAGTTCGGAGTAGCTCCTCCCTTTAGGCTTGTCAGCTAGGCAGCCCCATCATATAGTTAATATTTTTATTTTCACATTTGCTTTATAGTAACCATTTTTTAATATATTTGCCATTATGTTGGTTGGTTTATCCCAACATCCCCAAATTACCGTCTCTCAATCGTCCAATTAGCTGGTAATGAAACTATCAGTCCAGCCTGTGATCTAAAGTAACCCAAGTAAATCCGTGCTTGTCACGATGACTCAAAAGTACGAAGTATTCTAAAATGAGACCAGATCCAGTCATTACAACTAAGTTATGAATGATCTTAAATTTGATCCTTCGAACAGCTGTTGAGCAATGAAACGCAAACATAATCTTAGCAAAATGAATATATTTCTTTTATCTTCAGCATTTAATCAGTCACATAATCTGAGAATATCAATGGTTAGTATGAAAATGTCAAAAATTCTCATTAAAAATGTAGTAAAGTTATGAATGAAATTGAAATTAAAGGTCATTAACCAAAACTTCTACATTAATTGCCTCTTCCTAAAATCCATCGGTCTGTCGTCAGGCCATTGGCCCAGAACGCAAGGCCCCGTTAACCCTCGTGTCGTAACCGGTCTAGAAGAACCAAGCCCTATGGATGCCTAGCCGTTAGTCTAGCTAGGCTGGAGCCTCAATTTAATAAGCACGGAGACTCGACACCTTATGATGACACAGACTAAAGAACAACTTGTCCGTCCTTACATACAGATCTGACCAAGTGCGAGATTTTCTAAATGTGATGTCACCAACTGTGACGATTATATTGCATTGATGAGCAATAAGGCTGAAGCATCGCAGACCTGGACTTTTGATGCATTTTAAATAAAAATTTCAACGTTATACTTATAGTTGTATCAATATCATGTAAAAATTGAGCTTGTTGGTAATGGTACGAAAAGTTGTTTTTGATTTAACCAGCTGCCGCCTGCCAGAAGAAATATCAAACTTTCAACATCAATTAGGTTACATGCCAGGTCCTTAGATTCGGATCTCAGATGCTCGGAAAAGGTGAAGAGTGATTAATCATCTTAAGATCAAATCAGCTAAAATGTTGTCTGTTCATATGGAAGGGTTCACATATGACGTTAGCAAGATTTCGGCCAATTTTACCCCCCTCCTTTTGTCAGCAAATGTCATCACTGATCAGTCCAAACAACAGTGCAGAAAGAGATGAAATCATATTCTTCTGCCCTGAAGAAGACTTGTGCAGCTACTCTTACGCCAACGAAGATATGTACTGCATTAAAGACAATAGCTGAAAAGGACGAAAGAAGCAGGAACGTCGTAATCTATGTAATAAGTGAATCCGACGGTGAGCAGTTAGAAGACAAAGTTGATGGAGTTCTTGGTGAGATTAACGAGAAACCTTTATTACGTGACTGTTGTAGAATGTAGAGTTGGACTGAAGAGAGCCGACACATCACGACCTTCTAAGCTCTCTGAATAACCCTGATATGGCAGCTCAGATGCTGAGAAAAGCTTAAAACGTTTACGCACAAAAGAGGGCTATTATAAAAGTATACATATTTGCCCGGACAGATCAGTGGAAGAAAGGAGAGCTTTCAAGAAGCTCTGGTAGGAATTGAAAGAGAAGAGGAAAGCAGAGCCTAACAGAGTTCATTTCATAAGGAACAATAAGATTTTCAGCTCTGATAAGAACAGTGTAACAGCCTCGTCTAAAGAAATTTGAACTGTTTCATATTCTTCACCACACATTTATTTTTTCCACACTTTTGTTTCACACTTTTGTTTCGCATATTTGTTATCACATCAGGGTCATGTAATTGCGGGCAGTTTACTGTGCGTGTTTGGTGCGTGTGCGTGTTTGGTCTCCTGACAGATTTTACAGACGGGGGCAATGATTTTACAGACGGGGGCAATAACTTAGTCGAGTTTCTTTGTACGTTATAATTGCTGTACTCTGTAAAGTTTTAAAAGTATTTAATAACAAATTTAAAAAATTATACACTATAGTCCCCCAACAAAGAAAATAATGTTTTCTTTATTTTGTATCAGTAATCATCAATAAGTAGTGAAACTGAAAGTAGTGAACTATGTATTGTTCTCACAACCAAGTCTGAAGCTCTACTCTCGTTGGGCGGTGAGAATATCCGGTACTCCGTACAGGACGGGAGCTGCCCCCACTAAGAAGGGTAGTTTACATGCCTCTCTGGACGGGTTCATCAGGGACAGGAGTGAGATGGTGTTACCCTCCGCCAGCCATAGCTCTAATAACTTCTTGGAGAATCTGAAAAAGAGGTATATCAATTATAGGACGGAATATCATAGTACAATAGCATAGTCGCACATAATATATGTATTATCAACAATACTTCTGGTCAAGCCGTTTGTAAAACAAAAATTCATACAGCCTGACGAACCTGTCGCAGTCCCGGTCTGTAATATTCCAGAGATAACCGAGCACAGCGGGGCAGCCACTGAGCATGTACTCCACAGGCGGACCTGTACCCCCTACTGGGGTGTGCTTTATTTTCCCACTGCTGCAGCCCATTAACAGTGCTACCGCGCGGCTCTCCAACTCTTGGATAGGCTTTCCTGGGAACGGGGGTTTTAGAATTAGAGTCAAGAGTCAGCTAACTTAACTGCAATTGATTATTAATGAAGAAATGTTATGGATTCATAAATATACCAAAATCAATGAAATTAAATTGCAACTATGCGACGTAACCCACCCGCGAGAAATTCCTTCCCAGTTCCGTGACCAATGTATAGGAACATGTCACTCTTCAATCCAGCTTGGTACTCGGGAAGTGAGGGAGGCTTAGCAGCCACACCCCGCCACCCTTCCTGTTCCGCCAGCCATCCCTCAAAACATGCTTGGGTTGACGGCAGGTTCTGGGTCGGGTTCAGGATGTAAAATGTCTCCTCCTTGTTCAGCTTTACTGGTTGTTTTCTGAGCTGGAATAATACAATATAATTCGGTATTCGAAAAATATTTGAGTACATTATGTTAACCCTGTATCCTGCTCGCAGACTAAACAGGAGAAAACCTTTGTTATTTTAAAAAATGTATTCATATGATTCATCCATGTTACCTTTTGTAGGGTGAGCGCAAAGTTGGTGCTAGGAACTCTCGATATAGGTTGGTTCCGGTACACTTTACACGACTCCCACGGCAGTATGTCCAACTCTGGACCTAAAGATAATAATTGTACTAATATTAATTATAAATCACAAGTGAGTGAATTGGAAACACGAGGGCAGAAAAGAAGGACAAAATTTGGATTTTCACTCCAAACGCCCATGCCCAAAAGTTGATATCAATATTTCAAGATCCTCAAGTCACTAATTAGGATCCAGGCTAAGTGATCACGTACCAAGTGCAAGCAATGTAGGATGTCGGGCGGGGGCAGCAGAAGGAGCCAAGTCATGAACCATACTGAGCACCTCTGATATAGGCAGTCCTGGTAAGTGTAACACCTCAGTAAGATGCTCTTCTGAGAGGATAGAGTAGCAGTCCAACACGTACTCTGCTACAAACTCCTTCAACTCCACCTGGAGCAAAGTGTATACATTCAATCTCCGGACCAGTTAGGAACCGTTAGTTAGGCCTTGTTTTCCCTTGGTTAAATGGTCCGAAACATAAACGGCCGGAATAAGTTGGTCCGAAAGATATTAAATCTGGAACTTTGTTGGTTCGAGTTACTTTAGACTAGAAACACCTAAAGACGACTTTTGTACGCGCAAAGAGAAATTTTTTGCTACTATACTAGACTAGACTATTCGTAGAATTCTGGGATAATCTAACTAAATAAAGTTAAACTAAACTATTCAGCACTCTTTACCTCATATTTAGATTTGATATCCTCTCTCAACTGAGCAGCACTTTTTGTAATAACATCTCGATACTTGTCCTCTACAGGACACCCGAGAAGAAGACCCTTCCAGGGACCCAACCAATCTCCCTCTAGTCTTTCAACCATTTCCTCTAGCCGGCTATTTAACTGGTACCTTTATAACATATAAAGCGTTACATCAACAGATATGCAGACCATTCATTAGAAGTTAGATAAGAAATTTAACTATTTAATTTAACTATTTAATTTAAATATTTAATTTAACTATTTAACTATTGAATTCCTCACTTCTTAAGTTAGCTTAAAAGTAGTTGAATAACACTTAAATATTATCGATCATTTCAGTGTAATATGTTACCTGCTCTTCCAGAACTTGACTTTATCAGTGGAGTGAGAGACACTGTCGTCGTTACAGGTAATTATCCGTCTCATTTCGTCCAAACAGCACGTGTTTTCTCCCCCTACACCCTGGTCATGTGATAGTTGTTACAACTGGTCATGTGATATGTGTTACAACTGGTCATGTGACAGGTGTTACAACTGGTCATGTGATAGGTGTTACAACTGGTCATGTGATAGGTGTTACAATTGGTCATGTGATTGTGGGAAGTGGATTTAAGTTGTTGTGAAAGATAAATCTAGTTTGATTGGTGGATACTAAGCAACTTACCGCAGATTTTAGAGAAAATGGAAGTTCTCTTTCAAAGACAACCTCTCGTCCGCCCCTTTTCTGTCCGAGGTACAAGGTACCATCTATTTGCAAGATGCTGGCAAAAGTCCAACTTTCCGGAATTGTAATGTCGTCTTTAGAGTTCGTGACGTCACTATTTTTCTTGATGACGTCACGTATCTGATGTTTGAAGGGCATGTTGTGGTATTGCTCAACATCTCGCCAGAGTGGTGCTCGTTTTATCTTACGTTTCAACAGTTCTCTTTTTACGAATACTGGCTGCAATCCTTCGCACGCATCGAGACCTTGATATTAATTGGTGTTAAAAATAGTCGCATAACTTGAACATTATGATCGACGTGAGCCAACAATGGTAATTTACATTAAAATCCGTTTTGATCGGGTTATTTTGATGGAAAAATCATTGATTGAAACAAAAATGAAAATATGTAGAGTTACCAAATTGAACATGATCAGTGGTCTCCGTTTGCTTAACTTGAGACTTCTTGCTAGCTGCTTGTCTCTTCCCAGCCTGTCTCCTTGTGGTTGGTCTTGTGGTCGTCTGTTTTACAGCTGCCTTGCTGTTCGAATTGTTCCTACTTCTACCTCTCCTGGCTGCCGGTTTTGGTTTGCTTTCTTCTTCTACTTTTGGTTTTGGTTTGCTTTCTTCTTCAACTCTCCCTGGAATCTGAGATTGACAGTCTGATAACATGGATAACCACGCTTGAGACAGCGCATCTAGTTCTGCAGGCATGTGGGTAGGCGATGCTTTCTTTGAAGATTTGTTGGATATCCATGTATCACGTGACTTGTTTAAGGAGTGATGGTACTCTACGGAGGACTCACGAGAAGGAGGGGCGATAGACCAGGAAAGTTCCAGCTGCAGAAGGATTAATCTGGCGAGATGAGAGGGAGTGAGGGATGAGGAGAAGACAGGATACACACCATCCTCCACACTAGATACACCATTAGTCTGCACCACTTGGTTGCTCCTTTCGGCCGCTGCTTTCAATATTTCAGTCTCTGCTGAACGATACCGTTCCAACTCTAGATATTGAGACATATACTCATTGTTTGAGTCGAGTAGCTCGTGTTTCAGAGGGGAACACGAAATAGGAGCAGGGATCTTAGCAACCGACGTTTGTAGTGTAACTTTGATGAACACTGAGAGGTTCCGGTGTTTTGAGATCCAGTAGTCTGAGCGGGAGAACTTAGCAAGCTGCTCCAGTCTGTCTAGGTACAAAGTGGCCTGATGAATTGAGCCCCACGTGAATAAGAGGGAGATGTAGCGCGCCAGCACGTGCAGAGTGTGGGGGATCATGGCACAATTCTGCCACCTGAAAACAAGAAACTTCAATCAATTTGATGTCAAGGATCAATCATTAGACGGTGAATTTGTTCGAAGTAATTTTTTAGAAATGAGAAACGTTAAGAAATATAACTTATAATAAAAGTTCCATAGCACATACAGAAGAGCTCTAGAAGACATGGTAGTGCGTTTCCAGCTCTTTAGTTTGGCGTGAGCAGCTTCCAGAGTGAGGGCAGTACACTTCTCACTGATCTGATAAACCTCCTCCCCAGCCCCAAGTACTCGGTCTATCAGCACATACCCACACACTCCACACAACAGAGCTTGTTCTGTCCCTCTGTCTGTCTGTTTGTCCGTCTGTGTGGCAGTGTCTTCCCATAACTCCTCTACTTCGTGCCTTTCACTCTCCGGAGATGTGAGTATATCGACATCACGTGACCATGTGACTCTAGTTCTATTGGCTAGCAGAGCTGGTACAGAGGACAGGACTGAGATGAGGTTCTCAGGGCGTGGCGAGAGTTGAGCCGCGCAGCGTGCAACTACGGTGTCCAGTCCGTAGAGTCCGGCTAAGAACATCAGAACGGACAGGACACAGTCGTCTGGAGAGTGAGATTCGAGGATAGACTTGGCGTCCTGAGGAGGGTTTTGGGTGTTATTCTTATTTTAAATTTTACTGGGGATAATGCAGTGGTGAAACGACCGTTGTTTGAATGTGGGACAATTTTGCTCAAAGTTATGCTCAAAGTTATGCACAATATGAATGTAGCATCAGGGAGTACCGTCTGTCATCTTAGTGTCGACTGTCGGTCAGTATTTTGAATAAAATTAAACCCTTGTACAGGTAAGTACACTCTAACACCAAGTACTCGGGCCCTTTTGCACAAGGTACAATAGAAATATGGGCTCAGATGATCCTATGATTCATGGTGTCAGAGCCTAAAGTAATTATAACCTAGGGACAACGCTCGCCCAGTCGCCCTCATTTTTTACTCAATATCCTAACCAAGTAGCTCGTGTAGCGATCCAACTTGATTTGCAGAGGCCTGAAGTATGTGATATAGTCGTCTATATGGTCAAGTTCGGAGACAACCTGTACATAAAATCAGTCAGTAATTACACTCATTTCACTGCCATAAATGGTAAAATTAATTATAATTCCTCTGACAGTCCAAGGGGTACAGGCTCTTCAGATATTTTACTCCTAACCTTTCTATAATGATATCTGGGTTCAAAATTTAAATAACTCAACCTTGGTGGAGACAGTGGCCACCTGAAAATTACAAAAATAAAGGAGCTGTAAATCACTTATGAAAAAAAATTTACTTCAAATTTCACAATTTAAAGTTACGTAAGACAGGTGGGTACTCAAAAAGTGCTGGTTGAGCAGGTTTGTCTGCTCAACACAGGTGGTGCAGCTCACTGACTACATGAGCTAATATAAGTGACTAGAACTAACCCTCTCATGCTTTTTAATTGCTCCGAAGTCCTAATATTTAATATTATGGGTTATACCAATCATATTTCATAGAATAGGATCCTCAGAATCGGCTCAACCGAGGTGGAGACAGCATAACATGCAGTTCAAAATCTGTTATTCTGTAGTTTAGGAGCTGTAGAGTGACTGTGGCAGTCCATTTGCAATACCAATGATTCTAAATCATCTACCAACTCATATTACAAGGCATCTTTGCTGAAAAGTACACTCAACATAGGTGGAGACTCCAATTTGGCAAATTTGGGCGTCAATTTGACCTCAGAAGTCAAGGTTCTCCACCGCGGTTGAGTGGCTGATGGCTAGTTTGATGAGTTGTATACATGCTGAAGGGTCACCCAATGTTATTTCTTCCAGAAATCAACTGCCAAAGCTCAACTCAACCCGGTGGGGCCAGTTTTAATGCATTTTTTAATGTTTTAATGTTTAATCAACAATTTCTCCACCTTGTTGAGCACCTTTTCACAACTTTGATAGTTTTTTCATTTGCTAGAACACTTTGCTTTAAGACAGAAGGGGTAACAGTTTTATGATCCCCTACAGTAGCAGTTAACAGAGCAGATAAGAATTAGTGATAAAACCAATGAATTTAGGCATGTTTGACAGGCTTTTTACTGTTTCTTAATGAAAGATCTCCACCCTGTTGAGCGTCAATGGAAAAAACAAAATTTAACGGGAAGTAGAAAAGGCCGAGACGCAACTTTCTAGCTAACCTAGAACTCTCTAAACCTTTCTCCACCCCCGGTTGAGCAGCTTTGAAAAGTGCATTTAATTTCTCCACCTCGGTTGAGCACTTAAATAAAATATTGATGAAACCATCAGATTACAAATTTGATGTAGTTTATGTTACCAATAACCTTTTCCACCTTAATCAAAAGTTTCTTCAACCAGAGCCAGTCTCCACCTTAAATCTCCACCTTTTAAGGGTTTGTTTAATACCACCTGTATCTGCTCAACCGTTCAACCTTTTAATTTTTTTTTTTTACTCAAAGAAAGTCCTGAAAAATGTCTTGTCAGCCATATAATCAGGGAGTTTCAGTCTGTGATGAGCTGGCTCCACCACACACTTCTAAAAAAGTAAAAAATGTACAGGTTGTCTCCGAACTTGACCATATAGTCGTCTGTATATGAGCACTCGAACTATTATACAATTATATCAGCTGTTTCCCGGAAATAGTGTTGGATGATACAACAAATACTGACATCATATATCTAGAGGTAGTTGTTACAATAGCAATATTGGATCATATCTTGGAGTAAATAAAACTACGATACGGTGGTAATATTGATGTTTGCTGACTCCTCTGATACATTTAAATTGTAAGTATTTTTAGCATTTTACTGCTTTATTATACTATTTACTATATAATATGCAGGATTAGTTAGTAATGTAACTGTCATCATGGAAAAAACGATGTTGATCTTCACAGCTGCCTGTTTCTTCAGCTCTGTGCTAGCTAGCGCTAACGGTGAGTTCAATGAGGTTTTTTATTTCCATTTTCTTATTTTATTCAAATAAATTCACTACAAATTTATAGTTATAACTGGAAATTTAACCGATAATATAAACATTATTGGTTATTTCATTCTGAACATTTTGTGGTATTCTCAGGGGAATGTCGGAAACATCTGGGCTGTTGGAAAGATGCTGAGAATCGTGCAATCAAGGAAAAAATGGTTAATTTCAGCGACGACCTTATAAACAAATGCCATGATCGCGCAGCTGGTAAAGGCTACGCTGTATTCGCAGCACAGAATGGAGATGAGTGTTTCACAGCTGCTGATGCTGGGGAGACGTATACGACGTATGGGGAATCTGACAACTGCAAGAACGGAGTTGGAGGAGCCTGGGCTCAGGATGTGTACAGAATAACAACCTGTTCACCGGGTACTACACTGTGTTCAGTAACTTTCAATGTTGGAATTGTTTACCAGGCTAGTAAAACGTGTCTTCTGGGTCTGGATCGTGTATATCAATTTGGATTGGGTTTATCAATTCGTGATTGTTTGATTTTTCTTATCAACTTAAAATAATCTTTAACCTAAATTCCAGTGGTCGAGATATTATTGAAAACTCTATATAAGCAGAAGGATTCTAATTTCAAGATAACTTGCGAGATCGATGGAACAGAAACCCCTTCTTCAGTAAAGTGGTCTTATACAGCATTCGATCAATCAGAATCACAGGTCATCAACGAAGAAACAGACGACAACTGTGAGCTCCAACTACAAGGAAAGAAAGCGATATTAACGAAGTTTCACCCCAGTCTGAACGATGCTGGAGAGTTCACCTGTCAGTTCCAGATAGACAGTGACTCTGAAGTAGTACCCTCTGCTAAGATAGATGTACCGGGTCCGAGTAAGTAATAGTGGCCAAGGTCTCCAAGAGCACTAAGAGTTCAAGTGATAATTGTTATATGAATGGACAATCGTCCGAAATTATTGCTATTAAAAGACATTATATGGTATCTGATAAAGTACGGCGTACGCAGAGCTGATATGAGATGATAGAGCAGTAATTTCAGACAATTGTAACGAAGTAGATGAAGACTGGACGGACACCAATGAAGAAACAATCCCTCCGTTACCAGTGCTACATGATACTGAAGTTAAGATACTCTGTCCACGGAAGTATATCAACTTTGAGGTGAACCAAGTGTATTGCAGAGACGGAGATCTCATGATGTTTGGAGGAGAAGATCCGTATTGTAGGAAAATAGGTTATTTGGGGCAGGATTTAGATTTTTAAGCGGATATTTAGGTAGCTGGGTTAAAATTAGCTAGGGTTGTCAGAATTAGTAAAACATATCATCTAGGGCTGATGTGTTTTTCTACGTCATGACAGAATCACCAGAAATTCTTACTATTATCCAATGAGAAATGTAACCGGAAAAACATAAAAACTCTCAATCATTGATACACATTACACAGGTTTTACTTGAGTATGTATATATATATCTGCGAGTGGAGCTATGTTTTTTTTCATAACATTAATAAAATGTAAGTATAATAGCATATTTCTATACATTCTATTGCCCTATTTCTACACACAAAAGATTCCGTGTGAAACAAAAACAAGATTGAATGTAAAAATGTCGGCTCGGTCAGCTTGTTGCTACTAACAATGAGCTCCGTTTTTGCGTAAGTTATGTTAGTTTGAGTATATATCTGGTCTCTTTACCTTTGCTCGGTATGTGTCTCTTAGTGGATCTCTAAACCAATAACTAGACCGTTATTGTAGTCGTTATTAATGTAGTTAGTCGTTATGTCGTGTTTGTTTGGAGGTTTGGAGTATAAATAATAACCTTGATGAGCTATTCTTTCCGGGATTTTTTCTAATTCGGGTTTTTAGGTTATTTTTCTTAAATAATACGGAGACGTGATTCTAGCAAGATGATTATTGATAAAAGTTGTCACGTTAAAATCGTAAATATTTTTTATATAAAATGATAACGCCTTCATACCTGACAGAACTCAATAGGATTTTGAAGAGTGAAAGGTTCTCGTTGTTTCAGGGATATGATAAATTTTGAGTAGGTTTTCAGCACGTTTACACAACTCATGATCCCTTTATCTGCGCTTTTCACCCTGAATTGAAGTTTTTGAAAATCGAATTTGTTGAGCGGCTCATGAGCTAGGAAAATATCTAAATCCACGAATCTGAAATGAAACTTTATTACCCAAATAACATAAAGGCCCTGGACTGACCGGTTGAGATAAGTGAGAGCAGGCTCACAGTTCAGTTTAGATATCAGACAGTAAACTAGTAGAAGAGAGCTGGAAGGGGAAGGAGCAGGATCCTCTTTTAACAGGGATATCGCGTCTGATAAGTGTCTGAAATAAGAGAAGTGGACTTTCGATTTCATCAAATATCCAGGCTTCAGCATTTAGCGATCATAGGTGGGTTAAATAACAAAACAAGTGTTGTTGACTCGACAAATGATTTGTAGACTGACCCCTGAGATCTGTAGATAGAAGCAAGTTTTAGTCGGTATTGGTCTGAAAGTGAAACACCCGGTATCATTGTTACTAGTTCCAGTAACTTTATCTCGTGAGATACTGACTCTGTTTGAGATGCCGCTTCACACAACTTTGTTTTAAATTCTTCTTCTGAAAATTAAACAAGTATAGGGCGGTAGACAATTTTAGAGTGACTGTAGAATGAATATAAAACTAGCAATAGAAGATATGTATTTTGCACTTCGGTTACATTTTGACCATATATTCACTCAATTGAATTGTAAAAAGATGACAACAAAAACCTGATATCGTTGTTTTTTCGAGATTTTGTAGAGTGAGCATCTGAAGATTGATGTAAATCTGAAAGCATTCTTCTGACCTAAAATGAGTATAAAGGACACAGGTACAGTGAAGTTCTATTCGTTTTGAAATCTATAATAAGGCGAATGAATTTGTATTGCCTAGATAAGAGTGTCGATATAACGACCACTATACCGAGATGTGAACGTGATTCATATTTCAAGACTTGTATCCAAAAAGCTAAACGAATCAAACATACCCAACAATCTCAGACAGGTGAGTCACGTGACGCGCATGCACGTGGGCGAGGAGTTGGGAGCTCTTCTGTCGGACACTTTCTTTGGGGCTCCTGTACATCAACGTACTGACCTAGGGTGATTTATGTGTGTAAGTTTGTATATTTATGTGCAATTATAGAAGGAATATTGCATTATACTTGTTGTACAGTTAAATTTGTATGGAGTGCAAAACTATGCTACACATATATTTCCAAGACAGTGCACTTTGCAGATGAAATTGTTTAACCTAAATTTGCAAATTTCGATTAACTCTAGTCATTTGCTTCATAACCATTTCACTGTGGTACCAGCAGTGTGGTTATTAAATACTGGTAAGTAGTAAAGCTGTTATGATTCCATCAACCGGTCGCAGTCGGCTTGGTTCTTTCCTCAAAGTATCCTAATACATTACCCATTCACCCATTGATTATGACATTAAGCTCCTTATTATATATTTTACAGGCGACAGCTCAGTTATTTGCAAACCAAAAGATTCTTCAGGACGTTATCTATCGCAACTAATATGGTGTGACTTTTCAAAATTGTGGCTAGATAATACGTTTGCAATCCTATCTCTGATCATAATTTTGAGTATTCATATTTTTGGCAATGATATTTTTGGAATATTTTATTCAATTTATCTTAACCTTAGAATTTTACAGTTAATGAAATTATTGTCCGGATTTTATATTGATTGTTTACACATATGGCTATTGATTTAACTTTTGACTCGAGAAAGAAGAGAAAGTACGGACAAATTGCCTAGATATGTATATAGATTGTACAAATGTATATATATTACAAATCTCCAGGAAAATATTTTTTAAAGCGTTACTACCATATATTCGTTATTCACACTTCTTGTCTAGGTCATCTCTTTTATGGCTTACTTATGTCTGAGCTATGTTATACATCTTACTCCTCCGTTTACTCCAGCCTTGCTTTACAGTGTTCATTCAACCTTACTTGGTAACCAGGTAACCAGGTAACCAGTTAACCAGGTAACCAGGTAACCAGGTAACCAGTTAACCAGGTAACCAGGTAACCAGGTAACCAGGTAACCAGGTAACTGTTACTTTAAGTTACATTTCTAGCTAGCAAGGTCTCCTGTTTGTAAACGCATAACACAGTTTCCATCGTCGTTTCATAGTACAAATACTAAGAGGTAATCGCAATTTTCACAGTAGAATTTAAATAATTTTTAGCATGTACGGCATAAATATCATTTAAAATTTCACTATTGATATTAAAAATGGCAAAATTGTTTGAAACATTTGCCATCGATGACATACAAATAATTCTATCATAAAATCATTCAATAAAGAGCAATCATGTCTCGGTAAATGAATTAAAAAACTAACTTACGTGAAATATAAGCTGAAGCCATGAAGACGGTATGCAGTCCAAACGAAGAAGGCAAAAGGAGAGGTGTTGGCAGATCGCCAATAGGATCCATATCGTGTCCTTGTGCGTCGTAGAGAATACCTCCACGTACCCTAATACAATTTTGAGATTGAATTTTATCCCTATCCACTTCTGCTATAAGAGAAATATGACCCTACGATTCATTTACGTTGTCAACAGAAGGATTCGATAAGAAATTGGATTGGAGGACAGTCCAGCGGAACTTAACGAAAATTTAGCATTATGTACGGCAAATCCATTATTTTACACCTTCAACAGTCGTCGATTAGGCGTCTGATGTCTCTGTAAGTAGATTCCGTGTTTAGCCTTTTAAACACATTCCTTGATCCTTACTTTTAAACACATTCCTTGATCCTTACTTTTAAACACATTCCTTGATCCTTACTTTTAAACACATTCTTTGATCCTTACTTTTAAACACATTCCTTGATCCTTACTTTTAAACACATTCCTTGATCCTTACTTTTAAACACATTCCTTGATCCTTACTTTAAACACATTCCTTGATCCTTACTTTTAAACACATTCCTTGATCCTTACTTTTAAACACATTCCTTGATCCTTACTTTTAAACACATTCCTTGATCCTTACTTTTAAACACATTCCTTGATCCTTACTTTTAAACACATTCCTAAGTCAGACGTTAGATTTCACTTAGTTCAATGCTTTAAACATTGCATTTGTACTCGGCTGCCATGAACTTTTAATATTGACATCGCCAGTTTTCAATTAGTTAACATTACCCTGCAAATGTTGTCTGCCATTGTTACAATACACTTGACTTATAGTTCTGTTTTTTCAAATTTTGTTGTCCCCTGTATCTGAACCACCGTAATATCCAGTTTGGATTAGGAGCAGTAAACTAACCGTGAGTTGGTAGCTGGACATTGTCCAAGTCAGGAGTTGATGACGTCATCAATGACGTCATGTCTCTGACGAGCTGGAAAAGGGCAGTCAGGGTGTGTAATGACAGGTGCTCACAGTACAGGACTAATATTCTGTCTGCTCGGGCTGCGTCCAGCACATCATCTTTCAAATCTGAAGCAGTATAGTATTATGTTTAAAATCTGAAGATATTTGAAGCTGATGACTGGACTCACTGGTCGAATGTATCAAAAGGAAGATATGATCAGGAAGTCTGCACTAACCTAGCTGTATCAAAAGGAAGATAAGATCAGGAAGTCTGCACTAACCTAGCTGTATCAAGAGAAAGATAAGATCAGGAAGTGTGCACTAACCTAGCTGTATCAAGAGGAAGATAAGATCACGAAGTCTGCACTAACCTAGCTGTATCAAGAGGAAGATAAGATCAGGAAGTCTGCACTAACCTAGCTGTATCAAGAGAAAGATAAGATCAGGAAGTGTGCACTAACCTAGCTGTATCAAGAGGAAGATAAGATCAGGAAATCTGCACTAACCTAGCTGTATCAAGAGGAAGATAAGATCAAGAAATCTGCACTAACCTAGCTGTATCAAGAGGAAGATAAGATCAGGAAGTCTGCACTAACCTAGCTGTATCAAGAGGAAGATAAGATCAGGAAGTGTGCACTAACCTAGCTGTACCAAGAGGAAGATAAGATCAGGAAATCTGCACCAACCTAGCTGTATCAAGAGGAAGATAAGATCAGGAAATCTGCACTAACCTAGCTGTATCAAGAGGAAGATAAGATCAAGAAATCTGCACTAACCTAGCTGTATCAAGAGGAAGATAAGATCAGGAAGTCTGCACTAACCTAGCTGTATCAAGAGGAAGATAAGATCAGGAAGTCTGCACTAACCTAGCTGTATCAAGAGGAAGATAAGATCAGAAGGCTGCACTAACCTAGCTGTATCAAGAGGAAGATAAGATCAGGAAGTCTGGATGTTATCGTCTCCTCTAAACACCACTCAACTAGGTCCCACAACCTGGAGAAGTGAGCTATTATAGAAAGTTCTGTCATATATATAGTAGTAACTAGTAACTAGTGAGCTACAGAGCTCTCGTATCACCAAGCAGGCAAACTCATCATGTTATAGTTAAGTTAAACTGGCATTTTTATTACATTTTTAAACCTGAAAGATCAAATAGCTGTAATGAAGTTCTCTTACGAGTAACTAAGAAGTTCTCTGTTCACCTGCTGTTAAGAGAGGATCTTAGTTCAGGTTCCATTTCCCTGACGATGATGAGAGCGTTAGCAGGAAGGTTCGAGAAAGGTTTGGAATCTCCACACAGGGGCAGATAAAGAACTACACTACTGAACACTTTCTCGCTACCCTGAAGGAGGAGGCTATTCAGGAAATCGTTAATATCCCAGGTTCTAAACTAAACCCCTTGTTTTGCTCACTTCCCAAAATCCAGATTTGTACTTGTTCTTGAGATGTAACACCCATGAATCATGATGTTTACCAAATAATTTGATAAAGCTGATAATAGGAAGTCCGAAGTCATGTTACCAGTTACCACCAGTCAGTATCTCCCGGATAACTAATCTGCTTCTCTTGACTAATTATTCTGAATATATGCGCATAATCAATCGATTATACTGCATGAGACTAAATTAATGACTTGCAGACAGATGTTCAACGATCTGTTCGCTCAAATATTTATCTCTCGTTGGCACATTCTAACATTCTTGACTGAAATTGCTTTCGTACCTTTGTACTTGATAGAGTGCTTATCTTAAAGTTAAATGTTTTTACAGGCTCTAATGATGTATTTTTACGAAGTTTTCAAGCCTTACGTTGTGTGTTTCCCTTCGTGTCCAAAAGCATTATATTCTCATATACATTATGTATTATTGGCACGTTATTCGCTATGTAAACACACGTATGAAAGTTGCAACATAAGCAAGCAATATTTAGTAAGATGCAGAGTTAGTGTATTAATCGTTATACTGTTGTTCGTCGATTGTATAGTTTATTTTGTAGTTAATGTATGAAACATTAGAAAGCCGTGCGGAAAGTTTCGGAAAAGATGCCCCAGTCAAAACTGTTACTTTGTTAGCTTGGTATCTGGTTCAGAAACTTGTTTCTCATGTTTACAGCACTTTTAAAAAGGAATACACAATAGATATTAGATTGGCGGGCAAATACGACACTACTTTCATACCATCAGATGGGGTCCGGACTCTAGGGCGTAAGACTCTAGGGCGTAAGACTCTAGGGTCTTAGGGTTAGGGTTAGGGTTAGGGTTAGGGTTAGGGTTAGGGTTAGGGTTTGGGTTAGGGTTAGGGTTAGGGTTAGGATAAGGGTTAGGGTTAGGGTTAGGGTGATGGTTAGGGTTAGGGCGCCGCCCTAAAGTCTCACGCCCTAGAGTCTTACGCCCTAGAGTCCCGGACCCCATCAGATAATAATATAATAATGACTCACAACATTAACCTGCAACTACTTTCATACCATCAGATAATAATATAATAATAACTCACAATATTGGCCTGTGACAGCCTTGAGACCGTCTTGAGAAGGGCAGCTACCACAGTATTGGTGGAGGTTTGTTTACCAAAACTAGATACTATCTCGTACAGTCCCTCTACTACTTCACACAACCTGTCCACATCTCCACTACTCTCTGAAACAACATAGTTTAAACTAGTTTAGTAACTAAACTAACTATTAGTATAGCAGTTTAATTCATGGAGTAGCCAGTAACCATTACTGATTACTGGCATTTACAGTAAAGTAATGAAATATCCCTAGTTATACAATAATGTGGTCGCATGTAATGTGGTAAAATAACTACAAGTCCGGTAACTAACTGGTGGTGGAAACAAGAGCGAGTATAAGATGAGGAGCTAGTTTGTTAATGTAGTTCTTCACCTCTTCTTCCTCCCTAAACACGTCTACTACCTGACAAAGTGACAATTAATTTCTACTAACGGTTACCTACTAAATGGTTAATATACACTAATAATTGGTTAATAAATGGTGATCATTGGTTAATGGTTACTTGTTACTGGTGGATACCAAGACCGTGTTTTACGTAAAATAACCAGCTATACCTGGCTCAGTCGTTAAATAGCATTTTAGTTATTCCTTTACTGGATTATAAGGATTATCTACATAATATGTGAAATATCTGTGAATATGTGAAATATGTGAAATATGTGATGGATGATCAAGTAAGAAGCGAGAATAGCACTTTAAACACAATGAGGATATTATTATTAAGGGACTGTCATAGAATTCTTAATGAATATTTGCAGAGCACAAAATAATCACAATTTAGCAGTTGCACTCGTAATATTCATTCAGTCCAATGTCCATCGCTTGCTAGGTGCTCGCTAGTTATGTTTAAATCGGGTTTAGCTTGTAAGGTATCTGTAGGTACTATGTAGGATATAGGTAGAACTATGTAGGATATAGATAGAACTATGTAGGATATAGGTAGAACTATGTAGGATATAGGTAGAACTATGTAGGATATAGGTAGAACTATGTAGGATATAGGTAGAACTATGTCGTGTTCTGTGAGTCAGGATACTCTAATGCGAGAGATGGGAGAGATGAGTAAATGTTACATGTAAAATGATTAGATTCGGTTTATTTTTCTAATTTTGATCGCCAATACTCAGTAGACTTTATCAGTCATAAGAGCTTAAAACTTATCCATATTTTTTTTCTGAAAAGGTACCAGGTACTAACATTTGACGGTGAAAAATCGCCGCTCCTTTTTATCAAAGGTGCTTCGTCACCCGAGCTATAATTTTACGATTGACAATCGAATATTACTCGTATTAATATCGGTCCCAAAAGGAATGCGTTCATCGTGTCCCAAAAGGTATGATAGCTGATAGTGATGTACAGGGTGGGTCAGAAACATTTCATAATTTTCATTTTGCTCTTATTTGATAACGGTGCTATGAAAAATATTTCTGTAATAAATGAGATGTAGTATAATCGAATATATTAATTGCGAAGTATAATTTCTGGACAGAAATTAGATTTTTAGCCAAAGCCCATTAATTTACATAATTCATAATTTTGTGCATGGTTCTCAGAAAAACTTCAATAATCTGGCCGTCAAAACTTTACACATGGCTTCTCTAAAGCCAACTGAACATAGCCTCCAAGTTTGGTAAAAATTCGTACAACGTTTACAAACGTACACTTCACATTAGAGTGGTTTTAAGAAATCTCGATCTAGGCCGCTGAAGTGATTTTTCAAAAATGCGCTCTTCCATCACAAGCTCATTTTTGGGGTTTTGGTTGTACCGGATAATAAAAAAGGAAACTCTACACTCCTGACACTTTTACGCAATGTCTATGAGTTTCTTGAAGTATGTTGGAGCTTTTTTAGAGCTAAAATCACCTATTTTATCTAACAGGCTTGTCCGCCGTGGCTAAATGGATCGGCGGCGGCGTTTCACTAAAATTACACCGGCGGCGGCGGCGTACGTCGGCGTGAGCCGTGAAATCAAGGCCAACTTAATTGAGGTCTATGAAATATGAATATGATCATGTACTTAATTTGGGTAATTTAGACTTAACTTCAACAAATGATGCTGGTATATTGTTATGGTATTATCTGCTATCAAATAAAAGTTGAGACAAATTGATACAATTATTTTATTTAAGGTAAAATACATAAACAATAAATTATTGCTGAAATCAATGGATCTCTCAATCTTTTTGTTGGAAACAAAATCATAGTTTTTAGAACAAAACAGTGTTTAACATTCATCCTAGATCGCTGACTAGAAAGAATTAAACCTGCAGCCGACCAGGTTCTTTCAATTTCCGCACTACTGGCGGGTATACAATGCACTATTCTTACTATGTTTGAGAGTATTGGGAAAGTTTTTTGCCTATCGGCCCAAAATCTTAAAAGTTCGATTTGTAAAATTTCTTCTTCAGTCAAACTTATGAGTAGGTATCTGCTCTTTCTCTAACTCAAATTTTTCTCTCTAACTCAAATTTTTTTCTCTAACTCAAATTTTTCTCTCTAACTCAAATTTTAGTCTCTAACTCAAATTTTTTCGAGATCGTCCACTGATGCGATGACCGGCCTCCAGAACACCGTTAGTGAAGCACAGTCCCTTGTCCAGTCTCTACGTGACCATTCTGCTCACCCTCCTACTCAACCTACAACCACCCTCCCCGAAATACCTGCACCACCAACACCGGTCCAGACTGTGGAACAGCCCTTCTCCAAGCTCGAAACTGGTGACCAGCTGAAGAGGTTTGACTTTAAGAGATTGGACTCTGAATTAACCTATGATAAAGTTTTCTCGAATAGAAAGGTTGCATATTTTGGCGATGCTCCTTACAAGTATTTAGGAGGGTACCACAGGGCAAAGCAATTAGACCCTGAGACGTACCTTGCTGAAATACTTGTAGCAGTTGATGATGTGTGCAAGACCAACAACATCAACTATAAGGATTTCAATAGCTGCATGATCACCAAATATGAATCACACGTCTCGTGTATACCTCCTCATTCCGATGATGAATCGTGTATAGTACCCGACAGCACTATACTTACCATTTCCCTGGGGGGTAAAAGGGATTTAGTTTTTCGTAGACGTCCTCCAGGCGAGTATCGCGATGAAACCGTGACAGTTCAACACGGCGACTGTTACACTATGACGCGAAAATCGCAGGACCTTTTTGACCATGCTGTTCCTCCGCAAACTCAGGCGGATTTTGAAGGTCCTCGAATCAGCTTAACCTTTAGACAGTTGGCCTCGGCACATTCCAGAAAATCTAGCAGCCATCAGTTGCGACCTCTACCCCATCATAAAGTGAACCAGACCAAACGAGTGCTGATACTGTCTGACAGCAAAAACTGTAATTTTGACTGTTCTCAATTTCGTTCACCTGTCATAGCGTTCCGGGAAAACTTATTTTTCCTCCGCGACTTAAAGGAACACCGGGAATCGATTCAGCAAGCCGACATTGTACTCATAAGTGCTGGCATAAACGATATCCAGAAAAACAGAGCGAGTGCCGTCCTGCTGCATAATCACATCAGAAGTTTCATAGAACAGTTCCCGCGCACTATGTTCTTATTCGATGCAGTCAGTCCACTATCGATACATGCTGACCGATTCAACACCCACAACGACATTATCCAGTACCTTAATGAACTCATGTTTAAGTGCTCCCTTCACCATGACAACTTCAGACTCTTCGACAACTCAAGTTTTAGTCTCGCTCACCTCGCTCGTGACGGTCTACATCTTAACTATATTGGACAGAGTGTATTATCAGATTGCTGGGTAAACTGTGTGCTCATTGGACTGGGGTTCAGGCGTGGACCCCTACCTCTACGTGAGCACTTTAAACGTATGATATCTTATCCAATCTCTGGCCACTTTGGCACCTGAGCACGACGTATTTTATATCTTAATGTCAAATTATCATGACAAAAATATCGAATCCTGAACAACTTTCCAGACTCGCGCTGAGTCGCAAACAATTTCATTAATCAAACAAACGTAACTTATTTGAACAAACTATTACTATATTACCAAATTTTCCGTCATTTCAAATCAAAATTAGAAACTTAAATCAAATTCAAACTCAAGCACAAAGCACATAATACAATCAACTACTTAAATGAACTTTTCCCTTATCCAGATTCCCTACCTTCTCACCTTATCTATCACACCTTATCAGCAAAACGCGAAATAAACCCTGCTTGATAATAGTCCACGTCCCTACATCATAACAATTTCATATTATCTAATTCCTAACCTCATGCCGTACTCAGACAACGACGACGCAATATTTACACGATATCTACACAGATATTTACACAGTACTCATTATACATACATCACACATTACTGTACATCTGACTCTGTACATTTGACTGATCTGTACATTTGACTCTGTACATTTGACTCTGAACATTCGACACATACATTACTGTACATATGGAAATTAGGCTCATGCACGGTGAGCTGCTGCCATCAAGTAATAGAAGAGAAGTTAAAGGTCAATCATAAAGGTAAAGGTGAAGTTTACTTAATTACTGTAGATAAGTCACGGTACTTTCTACACACAGGACTGAAAGTCTTCGTTAGAAGTATCTGACTAGGTCACGTTATTATTATCATATTCTGTATTAATAGTAAGTCTATACTCTCTTAAATATATCATAATATAACTATAATACTAACGAATATAATACATTATCTCATAGTTCTATGAACGAATCTCAGCGTTGCAACAAATGTAATACACGTATTCCTAAAGCACGTTCGTTCCTAATTTGCAGTCACTGCGACAAAATAAAACATATGAAATGCATGAAGTTATCTAAGTCTGAGGCAAAAATAATTGCAGATTCTGGCTCTGCCTGGATATGTTATGACTGTATTTCCAGCGCCTTACCAGTAAATGCATGCCCCTCGGCAAAGCCACCGAGACAAGGGCCCGTCATAGGTCCTAAATTTAAAGTTCAATGCACATGCTGTAATGGCTGGATTTACTCCCCCGCCAACCTGAAAACCTGCCACTGGTGCGAATCTAAAGTACATACCAAATGTCACTCCGACTTTTTAGGATGCAGAAATTGCTGTGAAAATATGATCCCGGGATACTATGTACATTGCTATCAGCTATACTCATTACATACACATACTCACACCGGCATAATCCACAATCCCTACGATCGCTATCAGTTGATTAACGAAATAGGAAATACAATTGACCAAGATCAGGAACTCGAATATTGGAATGAGATTTCTGATATTTTAGTTAGCTGCAATTACATGGAGCCGACCAATGTAAGTTCGTCAGGAGCATGTGATCTTAAGATATTTACCTTAAACATACGGGGACTTCTTAAAAACGTAAACAAATTAAGAGAAGATATATTCACGTACTCGAAGTATGATGTCCTTTGTTTTAACGAGACTAATCTCTTGCAGGATAAGCTTCCTAATGGTATTAATGACCTAGTGCTTGAGGGATTTTATGAACCACTGTTACGAGATCCAATACGTAGTTCTGGTCGTGGTGGGGGTTTAGCAATTTATATCAATACGCGCGTATGCGAATCTGAAAATATTGAAAAATTCTTTCCCCAAAACTTTGATGTGACAGACAAGAGTGGTGAATTCATGTTGGTAAAACTCCATAACTGCAAAGGCTTTAACAAAACAAAGATAATCGTCAATATATATCGGTCACCAGCATCAAAAAATCCTGATAATTTTAACAAACTCATTGACTCCCTATTACACGGCATGGAAAGGCACTCGAGAAAACATACTATATTAGTCGGTGACTTCAATGTAGATCTTACACATTATGATACTGACAAACACTGTCAAAATTTGATTGAAACTATGACCAAATACGGTTTCTTTCAGCTAGTCTCACGTCCCACACGTATCACTGATCACAGTGCCACTCTTATAGATCATGTTTACAGCAATAATGTACAACACACACACAGCTGCAATGTTCTTACTGTTGACCTGTCTGATCATCTAGCCACTCTTGTTACTATCTCACTTGGGCAATACAGCCACATTGCAGGGAGTAGAAACAAACGACACAGAGTCGACCATGGAATGAATGTTGAAAAACGTATGTTTAACGAGTCGAACAACCTTAAATTTATAGAATTAATTGGATCCGAAATGTGGGAGGAAGTCACACGTGAAAATTGTGCTGATGAACAATATAACAAATTTATTGAAATATACGGTCAGCATTATGATGAGGCATACCCAGTGAAAACCAATCATGTGCGCCGCAAATGTGAAAGGCAGGACCCCAAACCTTTTATGCTACCCTGGCTTGAAATTGCATGTGCTCGTAAAAACAAATTATTCCATGCCAAAATAGTGGACCCAACGGAGGAAAACTACAAGGCTTACAAAAAGCATAAGGCATTCTGCGACAAGCACGTCAATAAGGCAAAAGACAAATACTACAAAACACAATTTGATAAGTATAAAGATTGTTCAAAGAAACAATGGCAGCTGATCAACACTCTACTTGGCAGAAAATCTAAATCTCATAACAAAATTAAACTCCAAAACGCCGACGGAAATATCATAAATAGTGACAGTGATGTAGCTGAGCACTTTAACTCTTACTTCTCCAACATTGCCACAAAAATCAAAGATGCGATCAGCGCGCGTACTGTATTCGATCCAGGGGGTTTTAAACATTACCTTAGCAGCCCAGCTTCGCAGTCTATGTTCGTAAGACCAACTACCGAAAGTGAAGTTGAACAAATTATTAGCAAGCTTAAGAATAAATCCACTCAAGACACTAAAATTGAACCCCTAAAAATGGTAAAAGACTGCCCCTCCTTCTGTAAAGTCTTGTCCATAATCATTAACACATCATTTAGTCAAGGTATCTTCCCATCATCTCTCAAAATAGCTAAAGTTATACCAATTCACAAAGGAGGCAGCAAATCCGACGCCACTAACTATCGACCCATATCTTTGCTGTGCACCTTTTCCAAATTGTATGAAAAACTTATGCATAATAGAGTAATGGACTTCCTTGACAAGAAAGGCTCGCTCTTTGAAGGGCAATATGGCTTCCGGCCAGGCCGATCCTGTGAGCATGCTCTTTTGGATGCTCAACACACGATTCTGAATTCCCTTGCCAAAAAGGAAGTTGCTCTATTACTCCTAGTCGACTTTAGTAAAGCTTTTGACGTTTTGTCTCATGATGTATTGATCGACAAACTCCAGCACTATGGAATCCGTGGGCAAGCTTTGCAATGGTTTAAATCCTACCTGAGCACACGTCAGCAATATGTATGTTTGAATGGTATTAAATCAGCTCTTAAACCTATTACATACGGAGTTCCACAGGGCAGTATTATGGGACCTTTGTTATTCCTAATCTACATCAATGATATGCCAAATATCAACAGTATGATAAAGTTTATACTCTACGCTGATGATGCAAACATCATAATAAAAGGCAAAAATGCAAACGATGTTATACAAAAATTCAACCAATTCTCCCACGAGTTTGTACGCTGGGTTGACTGTAATGGACTTGCACTTAATCTAAAAAAGACCTGCTATATGCTTTTCGGTGTTAGAAATACTGATAATACTCCAAATATTCATATTGCAGACACACAATTAGAACGTAAAAGGGAAGCACGGTTCCTTGGCGTTATAATGGATGATAAACTAACATGGTCTAAGCATATAGCAGCTGTTAGATCAAAAATGATGCGGTATGTAGGAATTATGTATAAAATAAAACGTCACCTATCGATTCAAATAAGGCTACAGATATATCAAAGTTTTGTTCAATCGCATTTAAACTTCTGTTCAATTGTATGGGGGTTTGCAGCAAAAAATCACATTGAATCACTCTTCTCACGACAAAAACAGGGTATCAGGGCAGTAATGCCAGGTCACATTAATTACTTTTACAAAGACGGTCGACTGCCAGAACACACAAAACAATTTTTCAATAACAATGGTATACTCACGGTGCACAGTGTTATTGTAAAAAACACACTAATTCTCATGCACCGAATCAAACATTTCCGCAGCTCAGTCCCTCAACAAATCTGTATGACTATCCCAGAAAATGCACCCACTGCAAACTCAGATCACGTGACTGCAGCATCCTGGTTAGCCGAGTACAACACCACACATTTCAGATCTTCGATGTTCTTCAAAGGACCTTTACTCTCAATTTATGCTGTAAATGCAAATGTAAGCACCCTACCAACACTTTTTTCCATAAACCTTTTTAAATCGGCTACAAAACGCATGCTCTTGAACCTGCAGAGTGAAAATGACGATGACACGTGGCCCAGTTTCTTATTACATAATATTCCAGGTCTAAGAAGGTCACAACGTGTCTGAAAGTTACTGGACACAACGGTCATTATATCAGTTTAGTGAATTAGTTAATTAGTTAATTAGTAAATCAGTTATTAGTCATATGGTTATTATTAAGTACTATATATTATATAATATTACAAAAATAAACTATGAATATATATTTGCACACAAAAAAACCAGAACAAACTGATCACAGACTAGCGGCAACTAATATTAATGGATAAGCCACACATCCTAAATTCCAGGTCCATATTTACACTGCCACATTCCCCACTATCACTATTTTCCTATCAGCACAAACCGTAATTAATTTATTTCAACAATCACAAACACTACATATCCAAACTAATGGCATGGCATAGCATTATCTACGATATCCTAAATCAGTCCCTAACAAACTTAGCGCGAGTCTGAAAGGCTGTTGGAAGCACAGAGTGCTCCATATTTTGTTTTTATCAATAAACTTTTTTTTTCATTTTCTTTTTTAATAAATTTATTAACTGCGTGCAAATTTGTGTTTCAGATTTGATCTATTTATGATATATATTTATGATTATGTAATAAAGTTATTAATATTATATTCGTAAACATTGGCTGGCTTACAAACCAGTCCCCAAACAAAACAAACAGTTCTTCTGATAATCAATATTGTTAAGTTAGCTAAAGGTGTGTATCATGTGTGTGTTGCCCCTAGCCGCTAATCGCTATCAGTAACACTGATATCTTCAAATGAAGACAGAATTATTTTGAAGTCAGAAAATGCACGCCGTACGCCGATGTACGCCGGGGTGTATCGGCGGCGTTCGGCGTGGCAAAATTACCCGGCGGCGGCGTTCGGCGGCGGCGGACAAGCCTGTTATCTAATCAAAATTTACCATCTGGACCAAGATAGCGAATACGCTAATAGTAATGGTACGAGCTCATTGTCCAAAATTAACCTATCATAGTTATATTGAAAAGCAAATTCCAACGTAAAACGTTTTCTAGCACACCCTTTATATAATAGCAAGCGAGGAGCGAACGTATCTTCATACCCATTATCACATAGATCTGCAGGAGAGTATGGATCACATTGCACACGCAGCAATAATAATATCGATGATCGAATTTTCTAAATTCCGTTGTCAAGGGGTTACGAGCAATTTTCCTTGCTCAATCTTAATTCTGAAATCACATGCCTCCTTGTGAGACTCGACATTTTTAGTTCTAATATTGTTTTTTATGCGGTGTTGCGACTTATCGTGTTGAGTTACACATTGGATAATTAATTTCCAGTAAGGACATGGAAATATAGGTTTGGAAATTAGATTTTAAAGTCCACACTCATAACACTAAATATAGTGACAGCTACATGTTTGTTAGTTTGTTAGTCGTGCTTTAACATGGTTACTATTAGTACAGTTCACCTGAGTTTTCACGTTTCGTTATCCGTGTGATGATATTTTGTTCTGTGTTAAAAATATCAAGTAACAGTGCTGTCAGTGCTTCTACTGTAATAAAAGCTAGAAAATTAGCATTAAACTGCAAGATTAGATACACGGTTACTAGACATTTGTAACACAAAAAACAATCTCTAATGTCTGATACATTAGCTTTTAATTATTATCTTCCCCATTTGCGAAACAAAACTCACCTGGAGTGCAATTTGAGTCAGTTCGGCGACATTATCTCCGCTGTTTTTCTTGACACAGTCTAGCACATGTATCAGTATTTGTATTCCAAGATAACGAAATGCGGGTGCATATTTTGAATCTCTGTCATATTTTGAGAGCTTGTCCTGAGGAGATATTTTATTGGTTTAGTCTGCCGATCATCCGTGAAACAACAGATCTGGCTAAGAGTAACTTATCAATTTCCATAAATTTGGCATCATAAATGTATCAATTGGGTCCAAACCGTCAATCGCTTGATATTTAATGTAATATGCAAGTTTATCACGTCATAGCCATAACCCAGAATCAGGCGGTAATTAATTAAAGTTGTAAAACATTATTCAGTAAGTTTTTCGACATTCTACGTTTATAACCGCTTTGTGAATACCTTGTTATCAGGCCTTAATTACGTATGATTTTATGTTGTGGCTCTTCTTTTTCAAGAATAGATGTAGGGACGATAAAGCTGGGTCTTTCTTTTTAATCATAACTTAGATTTTCATTTAACTGCCCCTACTTTTAAAATTCAACAGGTTACGTTGTTTCGAAGCTTTACAATCAATCACGATCAGTCCCAGGACTCTCACTCAATCAATCAATAAAATCACAAAATAAGATCAAAGTTCAATAAAATTTGTCATGTAGTTAATATTGCATTCTCGTATAATATAATGGGGTAGAATACATTCTCCATTTTAAATCTGATGAATTAGTCTCTGTGAAATTGGAATGTGATAGCATTTCGACTGTCGGCGTAGCAAAGCGGTGTTATCAGTCTTTGATAATTTTATAAAATCATAATGTTTGATTATTTGTTAGTATGGCACAGCATTCGATTTTACATCATTATCACTTACTTGAACGTATTTGAGCGGCTCTTCCGATTCTTCTAGTTCTATTTTCACAACTTCCCATTTCAGGCAGCCCATGCTATGATGATGAGGTGAAGCACATCCTACTAACAATCTTATTTACAAAGAAGATATTATGTAACTTGTATCAAAGAGACAGTACTTTCCACAAAACACATGCTCAATTAACAGACCGCCTAAAGACCTAGTTATGAAAGATGATATCTACATCTACATAGGATTTGTGTCAGTACTCTTTGCAGCCCTACTTGTCTACATGTGTGTTTGTTGCACTGGCTGCTGCTTATGTGGGACCCCACGATACAGCGAGAACGCTAAGCTTATTGTTAACACCAAACAACCAAAGTTCGAACTGATAGTGTAGCTCAGTTCAGGTTTCAGCAGGACGAAATTGTGAAGGGGATAGACAGTAAAACTGTAAATAGGGAAACTGAATAGTATGAAAAAATCTGAGTATGATTGAATGAGTGCGAAACAAAGTTGCAGCATAAGGATAATAATCAGAATCAATGTAATTATTTAAATGCATTCTATTCATGCCTGAGGCAGTCAAGGTGTATATATATATACACACTACAATTTGCTCTTACACATATTACCTCGCGGGTCATGATAAGGCTAGTTATAGGATTCGCGGTGAAATAAAATGTCAGGAAGTAGACTCAGAAGAAGGTAATCTGATTATTTTAAAATGCTGGGTTTTTTAAATACGAAGGCTTTTGATAAGAAGTTTTATAATTTCAATTTTTACAACATATATAAAAATGTATACATTTAATCATGTCGGATTTTCATTCTCACAATATCTGAAGTCTTATTACTCCTGGTGAAGTAGGGGATGACTAGGCTAATAAGTTTTAGCAACAACAAAATTTAATTTTTTTTAAAGAAGAAAAAGAAACAACATGAAAGAAAACCTAGACACTGACACTTGCCACGAACTCAACATCGCACTATCCACCACACCACTTCAATCTAGGTTATAATAATATCATATGAGAACAATCTGATCAGATCCAGGGTACTCGGGGAGGTTAAGAGAGTATTTGAGAGCGAGAGAGGGAGGTACAAACCTGCCACCCAACCAGTGGCGTCTGCCTCTGAAGTGTTTAGCACATAGTTTAGGAGCGGTCAGGGAGATCAGGATATCTGGTTGTATTAAGGAGCTGTCTGGGGAACCTTGTTCCACCTCCCAACCTGTTAGAAGAGCAGGGGGATCTTCAATACTTCATTGTGCGAGAAATTAAGAATTACTTTAACTGTTATTAACTACTGTTAGCTGGCCGATGGAGAATGGAATTGAATGTTCAGTTTATTCGTTTGCACTTGAAAAGGCTAAGTTAAGCAAAGTAGTCGAGACAAAAACCTGAAGGGACGTCTACGCTGGCTATAGGCACACTCGTATTGACCAGAGCTGGAATGATAGTATCAAACGGAGCTCGGATGTTGTTAGCACCCTTGAAGCTAAACCCAAACACTGCGTCCACGATACAGGTATAAGGGGACAAATCAGAGGGTAGAGTGGAGGAGACAATCACACCCATAGCTTTAACCTGACGAATACCATGCAATTAGTCCGATAAAGACACGACTATTTATTACTGGACGGGGCTCATCCTGTCCCTTTAATGATAAGCAATTAAGATCATCACGCACTAGGTAACCTAATCAAATTATGGCGACTTTAGCTGAATTAAGAATTAAGGATTCAGGATAGCAGTGAACTCTCTTGATCCCCTGATCCTACAAACCTGGTGGAGTATAGAGGGAAAGGGATGTTTACTGGGTTGTTTGGGATACACAACAGTCGGTTTATAGTTGAACAATGCGAGGTGTCGTGCTGCTACTAGCCCGTCCCCTCCGTTGTTACCTGGCCCACACACTACCAATACTTCCCCTCTACTAGGATAGGATTTCTCCACTGCTTTGGCAACCGCTAGCCCTGCAACAAGCAAATACTTTACTCTTTTTCCCTTTGCATTGCTTTGAAGGGCGCAGTAGTAGTCACTATAGATATTGGGGGCAGATGAAGAAAGAAGTTCATGAGTGTCAACTCGGAATTAAACGGGTAGAGACCGAAATGGTAGAGACAATAGTGGTAAAGACAGGGTGGTACTGGTAGGGACAATAGTGGTGGAGACAGGAGTGGTAGAGACAGAAGTGGTAGAGACAGGAGTGGTAGAGACAGGAGTGGTAGAGACAAGAGTGGTAGAGACAAGAGTGGTAAGGCCTAAGTGGTAAAGCCCGGTAATAAGTCAAGAGTGGTAGAGACAGGAGTGGCAGAGCCAAAGTGGTTAAGTCAAGAGTGGTAGGGGCAGGAGTGGTAGAGACAGGAGTGGTAGAGACAATAGTGGTGGAGACAGAAGTGGTAGAGACAGGAGTGGTAGAGACAGGAGTGGTAGAGACAAGAGTGGTAAGGCTTAAGTGGTAAAGCCCGGTAATAAGTCAAGAGTGGTAGAGACAGGAGTGGCAGAGCCAAAGTGGTAAAGTCAAGAGTGGTAGGGACAGGAGTGGTAGAGACAGGAGTGGTAGAGACAATAGTGGTGGAGACAGGAGTGGTAGAGACAGGAGTGGTAGAGACAGGAGTGGTAGACAGTGCAGGAGTGGTAAGGCTAAAGTGGTAAAGCCCGGTTAAGTCAAGAGTGGTAGAGACAGGAGTGGCAGAGCCAAAGTGGTAAAGTCAAGAGTGGTAGGGACAGGAGTTGTAGAGACAGGAGTGGTAGAGACAGGAGTGGTAGAGACAGGAGTTGTAGAGACAGGAGTTGTAGAGACAGGGTGGTAGATAATAGTAGTAGAGACAGGAGTGGTAAAGCCCGGTTAGGTCAAGAGTGGTAGAGACAGGAGTGGCAGAGCCAAAGTGGTTAAGTCTAGAGTGGTAGACAGGAGGAGAGGATACGCGAGAGGTAAACAATGACGAACGATAGAAACAACGAGAGTGGAGACTGATATTAGGGACGCGATTATAGGGGAGGGAGGATGTAGTTTTATTGATCGTATAATCTTTATCTTATTTTATTTCCTTTTAATTTTATACTCTGTGAATGTCAACGGAAAATGTTTCGTATAATTTTTGAATTGACTCATGTAGGCGGTAGGCGAACGGACAAGAAGTTTCAATTAACCAGTTTTCGCAGCTTAGCCTTTTGTTTATATACCTGCTAGTTCCATGAGCTGATCGATCGAAAACTTGTAATCATCAAACAGTTCTATGTCAATATTCTGGGCCTGTTCCTGGCCTAGGTAGGTCACGTTGCTCATACTCCTTGACATTAACTGACTAAATGAGCAGTAATTGGTTCTCAAGATATGGGATACTAGAGCTGCAACCATGAGCAAGCACAAACCATGCGTCCTATGCCATACCATACATCCTAGTGCAGTTTTCAGATTAGAACAACACTTTAATGAGGGCCAATCAAGAGTCAATTTTTATATGAAACATTTTACAGACAAAGAAATAAGACAACAGATTCAAATAGGGTAAAAATATATGATTCAATTCAGTTCTCAAGTCCGGGATGGAGATTGGACAAGGCTACATTATCTTTACTCTAAAACTGGAGGATCTTTGCGTCTGAGCAGAGCTTGTTGAACGAGTCATCTGCCTCACCCATCTCTCTGACGAACCCACAGCTGGCAAAAGTAAAGTTCTTGCCGGTCAGTGTGCCATTATCGTCGAGTTCACCGATGTTGATCTGCACTGAAGCGTGGTCTTTAGCTGATATGATACGGTTGGTGATGGAACACTTCCTGGGGATGTAGAGATCTACGATCTCGCCTTTGTCGTTCTGCATTTTCCTAGACAAAATATTAATTTACGTCTTTGCAAGACAAGTTTGTAAGCTATTGAAGAATGAAGATAATACAATTTTCAATACAAAAAATTCGGACATTTGTAAGCAATAAAACACAGATTCGGATAAATAAAAAACATCATAAAATTATATCCTCAATTTCTGGAAGAACCATCTGCTTTTGGCTGTCTTGTACTTCTCCTCGAGCTTTTCTTTCACTTGTGACAGAGCCTTTCTCTTCTGAGCGGGGTCTTTAATAGAGTTCTTATTGAAAAGTTCCTTGTCGACGGAAAGGTCAAGTTGGTATCTGGTAGGCTGGAGGTGGTTGCAGTTGTAGACTTTGACGAATGGCTTGATCTTACTCCTCTTGTTCTGCTTCTTCTTACCCATGCTCTTGGTAACTTTCTTGGGGTATCTAGAAATACCGATCACAAGAGCATGACCGTAAGGTCGCTCGCCAGATCCTTCCTCTTGACTCTTTATGATGACTGCTTTTCGTCCAGCATTTCTGCCGTTGAGCACCAGCACTACCTTACCGGGCTTTACGATACGGCCCATCCTATTGAAATAATTCATTAGATAATAGAAAATGAGCTAAACTTAAATTATATCAGGATTAATAAAATTGAGCAGTGAGACTACAGAATATCTATAATGGTACAGCAGAGAAATATCATATAAATAGAACAATATAATATTAAGTTTAGACAAATAATCAACAAGAAAGAAATGTACATACACCAAAAGCAAAAAATAGAAAGAAGTTCCGTAGAATATTTCTAAATTATTCTGTTAATTCTGAAATAAACAAAACCATTTACAATATAAAACTTTTATAGCTCCCATATCCCATCAAAAATAAATCCACGCCACAACCACCATCATCTTCGCGGTACTACAGCTACAGCTATCAAAAGAAATAGTTTAGAAGACAAATCTTCAGAGATCAGACAATTTACAAACAAGCTCGTCAGACAGTAGAGTAAACTCTGTTCGATCACTGGTAGACAGATTCAGAACACCCGACGGTACAAGACCAGCAGCTTTGAGGAGGGTGGAATCTCTCTTTAGAGCGGGAAGGCCAGGAGTTATTAAGGTAAACGATATAGGGTGTCTCAGAGAACTTTCGACGAACTTGAATATTGATTCAACGGTATCGTGTGCACTGAATGTTCCTGAGAAGTGAGAGGTTAAACATACCAGCAACGAAATTGCAGATACGAGCGGAAAGAATACCTTGATACGTTCATGGGTAAGATTGGGATTAAAACTAAATTAGACCTTATATAAATGGCGACTCACCCTGCAGGTATAAGCCGTCAGGAAACCTTACTCTAATGAGTGAGTAGTGGTAAATCCTCATACCAACTCCAGCATCCTTATCCCTCATAGCTTTAGTTCTCATTAAATCCCCACGTTCTGACTCTTCAGCTCTGGAAACATCGTCGATCATTCGAGAATGCAACACTATTTAATGAATTATGCTGATATCAAGTAATTTCAAGTAATTATTGCACAGCATTCTAAGAACTCGATAAACTAATCAGCTACAATGGACAATTCACAACTACAATACTGACCTCCGTTTCTGTTCAGCCATCAAATCTTCTTTGGTGACACGATAAAAGTCAGTAGACAGCTCATATCTCTGCAAACCCGCGGACGATTGGAGAACCTTCGTATCACGATCCAGGGTAGGGCTCGCTTTCTTTGAATTTTGAAGAGTCTCTATGCACAGAGTCAAATGTTCTATCGTTGGTGTATCCAGCATTATGAAGTACTCTTCGCCATCTGAAAGAGATTTAGTTGAACCTCTATCTTCACCCGACGTCAACTGATGAATATATGGCGGGTAGAACGCGAAATCGGGTGCGCGCGTAAAATGAAGAAATTCGTGCACACCGAAGTACGGTTACTATAAATTAAGCTGCTTCGCGCGTTACATTTTGTGGAGAAATTGAGTGGTCCGGACAGATGGCAATTCTTACAAGCCTATAATCCTCTGGATAGTGCTGAACGTATCAATATGTTTTGATGTGGATTCATAATCATGTGAAGCAGAACGCTACCAACCATTATCATCAGTTATTCTAGTGAATCCAGCAATTTCCAGAAACTCTACTCCTCCCACAAGCGGCATTATCTTCTTTTGTACGCCACCATTACTAACACGTATTTTCTTATACTTCTCTTCATCGGGTGCCTTGACCACGTTTTGAACAAAGAATGCCAGGGTTTTTACTCCAATCGCTAATTTTTCTTCGTCTTTGTTTAGTGTGTAAATCATGGTGCAGGTTGTCTCCAGAGGTTTTAATTCCAGCTCCTGTAATTTAAAGAATTTCACTTCACAGCCAACTCAAAATTTTAGATCTTTGCAAGGACTTAATTGCAACACAAAAAGTAAAATTTACTACGGATCAGTATACTGTTTACGTAACGAGCAACAAAACACATGAAATGACGAAGAACCAACCTTTTCTAAACACGATTCAAAGTGAGCAGACATCTGAGGTTTAGGAGTCGACACCCCACAAATAGGACACACCATCTTGAGGCCAACTTGAGGTATAACCTCAGGTTCTCGAGGTGCCGACATGGATGCGGAAGTGCGTTCTTCTGATACTTGACGCTGAGATGGTTGAAAGTTGTAAGTTAATTTTGGCGAGAATTTGCACAGAATGTATAAAAAAACATCACGTCAAACCAAACAGGATTAATAAAAGTGAATCTATCATATCATAAGAACATTGCAACTAAATAATCCTCACCTGCATTTGCTTCTTGAGTTCCAACTGCTGAGCTCTCATAGCAGAGTTCTGTTTGTTCCCCTTATTACTTGCAGCTTCAAGTCTAGCAAGTGCAGCAGCACCAGCACTTTGCGCATCAGCAGTAGGTGGTCGGCGTGAGGCAGGGACGGGAGCAGAGGAGGGACCCGGCTTTGGAGTCTTCTCCTCGTTTAAACGTTGCCCAGTGCCAGCATCTGCAAACTTTACATCTGCTACCAACTTCTTAATAAACTTCTTCATGTTATCCTTCTCATCCCGGTTCGGGGCGAGACTTCTTACTTCAGTTCATGTCACGAGTCACGCTGATACATCGTGCCTATAAAGTAATAGACATTTCACTTGAAAGTTTCACTCCATAACGAAATAATATTCCGCCAACAATGCTACAAACCGGTATCGATTTTGATTAATACGCAAGATTTTATCTGAAATCGGAAATGGATAAATGACATAATTTTAAATCTTAGTTTACAAAATATACAAATCAAGATTACCATCGCAATCACAATAACTTATTTAAACCCTTGCCAAGTATAAAGATCTTATACTGTGACTAAATCAACTAAAATCAACTGTTAGACTCGTTACTATCAGGGCTGCTAGCATCAGTTTTAATACTACTATCTAAAGAACCTGGTCTATGTGGTAACTCCCAATAATCATTACACTGCATCTCACTCAGTCTACTCAGTGCTCTCTTATGAGCAAACAGTTCGTCCTCCCCCGTAAACAAGCTCATTGCCATAGCCTCTTTTTTAGTCAGCTGCAGATCATCCATAAGCATACGGAGAGAATCCTCAGCCTCCCCACTGGTAACTTCTAGATCTATTATCTGTGTAATGGGCACGTGGCATGACAGCACCAGCTTCACTGACCTGTCGTAGAACAAGTCCATCATTATTATGAAGCGTCTCAGTGGTGACTTCTTCTTCATGGAGAGCTGAGGGAAGTCTTTGACGAGAACGTGAGAGTAAGTTTTAGCTAGAGCTCTGAAGTCGGAACTGCCATGGTTATTGTTACAGAGTTCTCTATATGAGGTGACTAGGACAGTGCCATGTGACACTCCCACTGTTATATCTCTACCTAGGAAACTGAGAGTTTGAGGTTTAGCAGCCTCTACTTTCACCCCCGTCAAGTGCTCGAACAACTCATCTACCCTGTTATCATCATGTATAAAAGCAGCTTCACCCCCTGGTAGATCCAGCGCTTTGTGGTCCTGTAATCTGTAGTCTGTAACAGAGTCCATGTCCAGAACCTCGCAGTGCTGCTTCAACAGAGGTATAAAGGGGAGGAAGTTGAAGCGCTGTAACCCGTTCTTATAGAGGTCATCAGGAGGCCTGTTCCCTGTTGATATCATCACTATTCCTTCTTCAAACAGGTTCTCGAATAATCGCTTTATTATCATGGCGTCCGCCACGTCGGTCACTTGAAACTCGTCAAAACAGAGGAGGTAGGTTTCTGAGGCAATAGCAAGGGCTACTTCTCGGATAGGATCAGTTCCTTTCATCTGAAAAGTAAATTGTTATTACTCATTATAACAATAGTAATTTAGATAGATTTAGATGATGTCTTGACTGCCGAAACCAAAAGCTTTATAAAGCTTTTGGTATTTGATATATATATCAAATACCGGCCATAGTACACATTTATAAACCTAGCACCTACATTTTCCAGTTGATGACGAGATAAGGATGATTTGTACTTGTGTATTCTCTCGTGAACATCCAACATGAAGTCGTGGAAATGTGTCCGGAGTTTTGCTCGAGAGTGAATGTTTTCGTAAAACTGGTCCATTATCATTGTCTTACCACAGCCAACACCCCCGTAAACGTACAGACCGTTTATGGTCTCTGTTTCTTCTACAAATGGTAGACTTTTAGCAATTATTTTTTGTATTATACAGAAATAAAAATATTAATTTCAGAGCTGCAACCTGGTTTTCGCAAGAATTAAAATCCTGCTGGCAATAGTTCGAATTTCAAGACACTATCAAGATCAATATTTGTTACCTACTTTTAGGAAAGAAGAGTTTGGAGATAAAGGATTTAGTACCGGGTGGTTGGTAAGCGTCCAACTGTTCTCGAAGACTCTCTAGCTTTTCCAGCATTACAATCTGTCTGGGATCCTCTACCAGTTCACCTCTCTCCACTTTCTCTTTGTACTGCAGATAATTAGATTGTTATGTTTGTTCAGATACGTTGATAATGAAGATGCAATTAGACCTGTGGATAGTAAATCAGCGCATATATTTATTTAATAATTTGTGGTTTATTAACGAATGGAACAACACAAATGGGGCCGAGGTCGGGGTTGTGTAATGACAGTTGTTTACAGTACACTACAATACCTGGTCGGTGAGAGTAGTATAAAATCTCTGACATCCTAACAGATCTTTGTTTCTGTTCGAGAAAGTTGCAGGTCTAGCTAAATCTGACGAATTGTACGCATGGCGACAAAGCCTTGCTCTCCGACACACAGATCGGAACATATCTTCCTGTCATCCACAACATCAGGAGATCATTAGCTAGCGTGCTGTAATTATACTAATTATACTCCGTTATTGTACCTTTTAATTAGTTATAGTTTTGTTTTTTTTATTAAATACTTTTCAAATTTGTTATGAAACCTAGAAATTTATCTTTCATCTTCAAAAATATGGTTGGTATGATCCCTATGCTAATATAATAAGGTCATGGGAAACAAACTGGTTGGTGCCCATCAAATTGAGAGATAAGTGACTATTATAGTACTAGGTACGGTGGTTGTTTTGATATCCAACAAATTGTAGTTCAGTCTAAATCTACTGTACCGGTTTAGTTAATGGATAGTATTAAAATATCATATAAACAATTATACCCGTAATATAATATTTAAATGGTTATTATGTATTTGGTTTAAATACAACTATTTAATAAATTCAAAAAAAGATATTCAAATATAAATTACAAATCCTTTGTCATCTAAGTAATAACATTATATCACAAACCAACAAAAATAAAATTACATCTGGATCATTTTTATTGTATATCAATTGTGCTCAATTTGACAATTATGCCGATAGAAAGTGGAAAATCGTGTCGTGTCAAGTCATCAATTGTAGTAACGCCATTAAACAAAAATACGTTCTGATAATATTTGATCTCATTTGCATGTCCATAAGACACTCAACTTCGTCCAAGGATATGCTCTATAAATTTGACAGCAGTGATGTTAACAGGGGCTCTTTGGTACTGTGTAAGAACAGTGATCCCACACATCTCATGCAACCAGCAGTACACTCGACCTACGTTCTTATTTGAGATCAACTCGCTGAACGTTGGCTCCCTGCAATGATATTCCGTGTTAGTTCTATTATGTATGTAAAATGTTAACTGAGGTCTAAGGTGTAAGTGAAACTGAGCCTCCTGAGGTCAAAGTTCTTATTAATGAAACTAAAATGTGGGATGTAAGTAAAACTTATTTTTAAATGAACTAACGTGAAAGTAAAGCTGAGAGCAGTGTGAGGTTCCTTTCTTCCATCATCTCCCTCACATAGACTCCCCAACACATTTCCACCAAAGCTATCATCACACGACACCACGTTGATGTTAGGATGGTACCGTAATACCACGTGATCAGTGTTCCTCACACACAGGACTAACAGTTGAGGGTCAGGGGAGAGAAGGTTCCAGGTATCGTCTGGGAGGGATTGTCTGCCTGTGTAGTGGGTCTGGCTGTTGAGTAGGGGGTCATCTCTGGTCACTGTTACTGTTACATCTGAGGATTACAGCTTTTAGTTTTGGACAACGTGACAACACAAATTAGCTCGATTTATATTAATTCTAGGCTTTGTTCCTTTCAAGTTGATACCTATTTAAAAATATGCTTAGTAAATTAAATGTTATTTTATTCACCAGTAAACTCTCTAACAGTAGCAGATAACATTTGTTGAAGTGTGTAGAGAGGTCCTGAGAGAGAGGTTGCAGGGATGGTCTGACAAGCACTCACTCCCTCCAGGAAAGATGGAGTGCTGATGGAGGACATGACCTTGCGTACTCGCTCCAGCTCAGACCGCATTTCCTGTTCCGACTTGCGCAATGATGATACCTCGTCTTCAAGAGCATTGGCGTATTCACACATCTTGCGTCTTCCGACCAGCTGAGAGACACCATTTATTAGTCCCATTGACTGATCTATTATATCACGATTCAAACAATTAACTTCAGACGAGCTTAATGTGATTTCCTAGACTTAAGTTGGTAAGTTGAATTCGAGTCAGTTACAATTGAGTCTGACAGATCTATCTATCATAACCTTCACCCCTAAAATCTAACATAATCTATGTTGAAACTTAAAAACTAACCTCAGTATCAAGTTTAGTTTTTATGGTCTTGTGACTGTCCGACTCCCTGACTTGAACTACCCCATCAGCAGGTTTCCAGGGTCTCACGTCGTACTCCGTGTCCATGTACACCATGTAGGACATCTGCTCCTCCAGCACTTCCTGCTTTTCCTCACATTCCTCACGCAACTGGAACATACTCAGTTTAGAATTTATTATTTGGTTATTGTTTGAGGGGTAGTTCGAATTAAGTTGCTTGATAAGAGTAAATGGCACAATTCGGATATTTGAATAAGCAAGCTCACCTCGTAGATCTTCTCATACTCATTCTCAGCCTCCCGCATCAGTTTGCTGTGTTGACCAGAGAGTTGAGCAAACAACAACATAGCGTCAGCAACTAGATCATCTTCTACAACCCCTTCGTTAGCTTCCTTGTGTTCACGTATTTGGTGGAGAAGAGCAGTCAGGTTCGTGCAAGTTGTCTTTATTTGGGACATATTGAAATTCTGCGTGACGATGGGTCAGCTTTAGCGTTCAGTCGCTGTACAAATGTTACTTATATAACCAAATTCAGAATTAAGAGTTAACGATTTTTTAAATTTCAATTTGGCAGTGAAAATTTTGATTAAGAAATTTAAGAAGTCCTGAATTTTTCAGATTCCAATTTAGTCATGATAATTTGAATTTGCAATAAGACGAATTGTTACACAAGAAAACGAATTTTTTCATAAATTAAAAACACCTAAAAGTGATATTAATCATCGGCATGGATTTTCTTCCAAGCAGACAGGGGTCCGTGATCGGAAATATACTTGGCGTGAGCACCGGATGGAATGAGCCTTTTGCAACTCCTCCATTCTTCGTAAATTGCCCTTGGGAATTTGGTGAATCCCCAGTTTCGGCTGGGATAAATCTTCTGCCTTCCAGGGAACTTCATCTTTGCTCTCCTGAGAGCCTCAGTAGCTGAAGCCTCATGTGTTTCCTTGCATCGGATAGACAGGAGAGACTCCCCGATGTTTACTCTGGCAACTGTACCCTGGGGTTTTCCGAACGCACCTCTCATTCCGGTCTGCAGACGATCAGCGCCTGCACACGACAACATTTTGTTGATTCGAAGAACGTGGAAAGGATGTACTCTGACTCGGATATGGAAGGAGTCTTTACCGCAGAACTTGACCATGTACTTGTTGGCACAGATACGGGCAGCTTCGAGAGCTTCGGAGCTCAGCTGTTCTTTCTCATCTGAGACAAGATGGACACAGGCAGGGAAATCGTCGACATGAGCCCTCTTACGTCCAAGATCATAGATCCTGATCTTTGGGTCAGGTACACCACGACAGAACCTGGATTTGGGGTAGGGCTTGTTCTTACAGTACCTGTAACATCTAGCCGGACGTCGACCCATGCTTGCTGTAGATAAAAATTGGTTAGCAAGATTACGCAAATATGTAAAAAAATAATGGGTAATTTTCAAACAGTCTTGACAATCAGAACACTGTAAGCAGTTTTATTACTGGATAGTAACGTGATTTTTTGTAATCGAATAAAATCTGTCATTATAAACAACTCAGGGAAGATCAAAGTGCCTTGCTTCACGTTGGAACAACTACATGGCATTTCTACAACAAATTAAACAAATTAAACTGTCTACTATAACTGACAACATTGCAAGGTAACAGAAGTATATAAAAGTGTGATTTTAAAGTGTAGATTATTAAATAATTTATCAATTGTACAAACATGTAATAAAATAGTTAAAAATACAAGTTGATCGTTGTATCCGTTGATCTCTACGTCGAATAGTACTCAACTCATAGAATAGCAATCTAATGCACGATATTTCAAAACAAGCAATTAATGACGACAATTTAAATAATTGTTATATAATAATATATAAAATATAAATAATCGCTTATAGAAGCTTATTATCAATTGTATAAAAATGTGATAGGATACAAATTATCCACACAGGATGTTAAAATACAATAAATTTAGGCTAAAAAACTTCACGACCCATTGCATGGCCGATGCCTGTGGTTGCTTTTTGGTCTAGAATCAAGTTTGCGGCACACACGGCAAAACCTCTTGCTACTACCCAGGTCTTTTTTGAATTCACGAGCATTAAATCGTTTGAAGCATCCTTTGCACTGAGTTCCCTGACCAAGGTAAGGTTCAACTTCCAAAATGTTGTGTGGAAGTAGGTTGTGTCCACACACGAACTTGCTAATATTGTCAGTCTTGGGGATGGCTTTAATGTAGTCTCTATATCGAATTGATGCACTTTTGACTTTCTCGATGCAAACCCCATAGCTCATGTACATGTAATATAGATCGAACAGATACTTAACATCTTCAAGGCAATAGTCTGCCAGCGTTTTGGGAAGTGGCCGAATGCACCAAATATTTTGAGGTTGGCTCTGCATCATCACCTGAACATTTCTTTTTTCAGTTTGGACATCTTCATTGCCTAGGATAGTCTGAATGCAAGCTCCTAGACCTCTAACACGTGTGATGCTTTTGTCAACTTCCGACCAATAGTTTGGTGCTGAACGTGCAGGTAGTCTATCTTTTGGCTGCTTGTTCAGAGAATGAAAAACATCCATCAGCTGAACATCAACCAAACCATCGATATTAACCCCGAAAATGTGGTATAGCGCATCAGTATCTTGCCTACAATCAAACATTAACTTAGTTATCAAAGGGTTCTCGAAAAGATCTCTTAGACCATTGTCAAAACCTTGGCTCCCAACTGATGTGATGTCAAAGAGGAATAGCTCTAGTCGAGAAGTACTAAATACAGAGATGATGTCCAAAGTTCCATTTCGTCCCAGATTTAACCCCTCGCAGTCCACAGCTAATATTTTATCTTCAGTAAGCTTTAAACATGCTTCTTGAAATAGAGATGCAGAATCCAATACATGTATCATCCTGTCAGGCATGTGTAACGATTTATCAGATTGCCAGATGAAATACAAATGGGTACAACTCCGATCTAAGCAAGATTTTATGAAGATTTAAACCAAACAAGGAAAGGGTGTTATGGTTGGGAGATCCCTAACACCCCATTTCACTGTGCTTGTGGAGAGAGAAATAATGTGAATCACACACTTATATGCAAGAAAGGTGGCTATGTTTCTATGAGACACAACAAAATCCGCGATCTAAATTCATAGCTGCAGCGTGAGGTATGCAGAGATGTAGTGACTGAGCCAGCATTGATACCCCTTGATAATGAAGAAATTGTTGGTACCAATGCTGATAGAGCTGCACCTGATGTATCCTCACGAGGTCTCTGGAGCACATTTGAACGAACATTCTTTGATGTCTGTGTTACCCACCCCAACATATGACAAAAAAGATATGGAACAGATCTATAAAGCTCATGAAATGAGGAAAATGAAAAAGTACAACAACAGAATCATCCAGGTGGAAAAAGGCACCTTTACCCCACTTATATACTCAACAAATGGCGGATGGGGTCCACAAGCCACAAGATACCACAAGAGACTCGCTGAAAAACTATCCCAGAAGAGAGGAGAAGACTATGCGGCTATTATGTGTTACATGCCCACCAGGATTAGATTCTCAATCCTCAGGAGCACCCTGATAGCGGTCAGGGGTGAGAGAGGGAGACGGCAATCGTATACATTGCCAGTCAGTGTAACTTCGTTTAACTTGGTACCTGCCACCATGGACTATGAATGTTTCTAGACACTATCCTTTTGATATTGAGATATTGGTATCTCAGATCACGTGTATATCGTTCCTTTTCTATGACACAGTAATTTATTGACACTCACAGCTATAATTTTAATCATTGAATCAGTATTTTTATCTGTGCTCTGCGTAATGCATCACATGAATCAGTTTTTAATCTATTAACTTATTACACATTTGTGCTCTGCTTTAGCATCACTTGACTATTTTAAAAAATTGTTTGTTCAGGCCATGACCTTATAGTCAGCCAATTGGCCATTGCTAAAATTGAATGTAATTTATTAGTTTCATATCACTTTCAAAAAAAAAAAAACAAGCAAAGGAAAATTAATGTCTCGGTACTACACCTACTTTTCTTGATAATTGTTTTGTGAAAATGTAGAGACCAGAAAGTGGAGGAATGGTGTCGTGACGTGAAGCAATTAGCAGGAATTGCATCAAGAGAGCCTCAAGTTGCATACTCTGCATTTGTATATGGACTTTCGAAAAGATGGAACTATGTGTGTAGGACTACACCTGAGATAGCAGATAGACTTCAACCACTCGAACTTACCATCAGAGAGGAGTTCATTCCAGCAATCCTTGATAGAGCATTTAGTTGCACTGACACTCTTAGAGAGATCTTTTCTCTACCACCAAGGTTTGGAGGGCTGGGTATCCCTATAATAACAGAACTGGCCAACTCAGAGTTCCTGTATTCAGTCAAAGCTACAGTTTTGCTAAAAACGGCTATACTAAGCCAAGAGGTAAACTATCTTGAAGACAAGGATAAAAGCCATGAAATCAAGACATCCATCAGTAAAGATCGCAATGAGTATTACACCAGAAGACAGGAGGCAATTCAGGAGTCTCTGCCACAAACATCTACACTTATGTTACAGCTAGCAGCAGAGAAGGGTGCAAGTTCCTGGCTAACCACCTTACCACTCAAAAGCTATGGTTATCTCCTGAATAAGCAACAGTTTTCAGATGCTATAGCTTTAAGATATAACCTGAAGCTGAAAGATTGTCCAAAACTTTGTACTTGTGGTGATTCCTACTCCGCAAACCATGCCCTCACGTGTAAACTTGGGGGTTATGTGACCTTGAGGCATAACTCACTTCGAGATACAATAGCTAATATCATGCGGACAGTCAAATGCAAAGACGTTCAGACAGAGCCCCCTCTTCTTCCAGTCAGCGGCATGCAGTTACCACGAGGTACAGTAACTGGAGATCAAGCCCGACTAGATATATCAGCAAGATCAGTTTGGAATGCGTTGGAAAGAGCATTTTTTGATGTAAGAGTGTTTCACGCTCCTGCTCCAACCAACGCCGCTAAACCAATTCCTATGATGTATTTGGCTCACGAGACTGAGAAGAAAAGAGCATATAATGCAAGGGTCCTAGAAGTGGAAAAAGCTACCTTTACACCTTTAGTTTTCTCCACAACAGGAGGCATGGGAGTCGAAGCGCAACGCTTGATTAAAAAGCTTGCACAAAAGATGGAATCTCCAACAGGTCAGCGTTATTCAGACTCAGTTACATATCTTAGAAAACGCTTGCGCTTTAAGGTATTAAAGACAACGGTTATTTCGATAAGGGGGACAGAGGGCCCAAGTTGCGATATAAACCAGACAATATTGAAGATTTAGATTTAAATATTGAGCCCTTTGGCTAGAGAATACTTTCTTGAATATTTTCGATAGTTTTTAATGTTGGTAATATTAAGTAAGATTATTCAAACAATATACACATAATATAACAATTACCCTATATAAAAATTCAATATAAATTCAATAGAAAACTAAATAAACACCCTTTAAGTAGTATAAGTAAGCCAGTTTAAAGAACTGGCTCCAAATTTATATCTAATTCTGCTATTTTTACTGCACTACTACTTTTTAACCCTATCTCTCCTCTAAGAGCTATGACTGTTGTTCTCAAAAGGTCAAATCTTACTCTCTTCCTAATAAATGTCATTGCCTCACTATATCGTTGGCCTGATTTCCTAGAAAGTTTATCCGCTAATTTCTTGAAGAACTTATTAGCTTCCCTTCCCATACCCCCAGTGGTTGATAGGACTATCGGTGTAAACGTCCCATGTTCCACTTCTACAATCCTTTTATTGTATAAATTCTTTTTCTGTCTCTCGTGGCTATTGTACATAGTGGTTGGAGATCCAAGAGCCTTATTGGAAGGAGCTTGAGCATGAAATACTCTTACATCTAAAAATGCCCTTTCCAATGGGTTCCATACACTCCTAGCACTAACATCTAATCTAGCTCCATCTGCTTTGTTGGCCCCTGCAGGAAGTTCTCTCCCGTTGACAGGAATGAGGAGAGGTTCAGTGGTAATATTAATGAATTGTAATTGATTGATATGTAATATTTAGGCCCGTGGCCAGTTTTCAAATGTAGAGATTTCGACCAATTTTGGTTGCAATGGGCCAGTTCCATTACCTGTGTAGAGTGCTTTGTCGTTTGCACAGCACAATAGAATTGAATGTGCCGTTTTAGTAAACATACAAGTCAGCACAAAATTATAAATTTGTGTGACCATCAAACGTGCAGAGCGTTGAAGGTAGCATAAAGAACTCTCAAGAACCAGCAAACTAAGTGCTTCGCATGAAGTCCTAATCCCCAGAACGAGGCAGTTGCTTTCGGTGGCCCTTGAGCTACTAAATGAAGTTAGCACAATAAGGAGAAGAGATGTTTGATGTTTGATTGACTTAAGAATAGATAAGCTGACGAAGAACTCGCAATGGATGCATGAATTGCCAATTGCTTGGAAGCGTACTATCAAACGCATTCTTACTCGTCAGAGGTTCATTTGTTAAATTACGACTTGAGTGTTACGTGAACGTGTTCGAAAAGGTTGACCACGCAGAACAAAAGAGTGATACTACAGTAGCGACAAATCTAGACAGCAAGGGTTGTAACGAAAGTTTGAAGGGCTTCAAAAGAAGCCGAAGATGCAGCTTCGCTGAAAATTCTTTGCAATGATCCGGATTGTCAACGAAAGGTGTCATGTGGGAGACCTTTCCGTATGAACGGTAGTCTCTTTGAATGCATGCACATCGTATTAATTTCAACTTTTTCACCTATAATTTCTGACGAAAATTAATGAACCAAGCCAGAAGCCTGCAAGAAAATTATGGGGTATACATAAAATGCTGTTAAGGCCAGTACAGTACATGCGGCAGCAGTCTGTTATGTAAGGAAACATATGTTATGTAAGGAAAGATACATTTTGTAACCATAGTGTACTTCCAGAGCTACCTCGGGTACGTGAACCAACTCGCATAAACAAGAAAAGTGTGTAAGAAAAATAACTCATTTAAACCACTAACAACTGACAAAATTTATGACAGCACTCGATTTTTAATGTGATATTGAATATAGCAAGTTAAAGTTTGAATTTTGCGCGGCACGAATCGCGCTAGAGCTCATATTCATAATCGATTATGAAAATCTGATTGCTGATCACTGATGCTCGTTATTAATGTACTGACTCAGTTTACTTTTAGTGATTGGCAATGTCAATCCTTCACAGCTCGGCGAGGCCCAGTGGTGCATCTCGATCGCCGATCTAACGATCGGTTCTATCACGTTGTAACCCCCACGGTCGTTTCACTATGGTGACGATACAGGGGGAGCCACGCACTCGTGCGCGGCGGGTCATACAACTTATGACAAACGATCGGTTGCGAAAAAGCATTACTGGATGCGTGGCGCGGCCCACTATACCTACAACCTAGGGACCCCAGGCTAGCTATAATAATATAAGTATTACAATGTTTATAAACATTGAACATAGAGATTCGGCGGAATGACAAGCTAAAATCTAAATATCAAATATGCGGCCAGTTTCAACTGAGCGAGTTTACACATGCTTTTGTGTTTTGCAATTTGCAATTTTTATGTTTTACACTTTTGCAATTCAACTGCGATAGTACAAAAGTTTTTGAGGACTTTGTTGTAGGTTTACAACCTACCAGGACGCGCGCCGAGTTGCAGGACTCGTCGACGGTCCTGTCGCGCGAACTGTCATTATTGCTTTGCAGAACTATTATTATTAACTTGATCATGGATTGCACTGCAGATCGTTGCTTTGATTCGCAGAACAACGATCTCGATCACGATGGGTCGACATCGTCAATCAAATGAAGTTCCGGCCGTAGGCACGAGTTATATTTTGTCATACGTTGTATGACCCGCCGCGCACGAGTGCGCGGCTCTCCCTGTATAGTAGATTAACTCTACAGTGACACGACCGTGGGGGTCACGACG